TTTACGTATTGTTGACAAATTATAAATTACCCTCCACATTGTTATTTGGTTCAAAATTAACCAGTCTAAGTTTATCCACACAACATTCACAGTTCACACTTCGTCTCTTTCCTTGCCCTGAGGTATCTATTTATGGCACTCAAATTCCTACTTCTTCTACAGTCAAATATCTAGGACTTACACTTGATCGCAGACTTACCTGGGCTCCCCACCTTAGATCTAAAAGACAACATTTAAGCCTACGGCTGAGCCTGTTAAAAACTTTTTGCAATAACAACAAATACACACACATTAAAACTAAACTCCTAATTTACAAATCTCTAATTAAGCCCATCTGGACATATGGCATACAACTCTGGGGTAATGCAAAAATGTCAAAAATCAACAAAATACAAACCTTCCAAAACATAGCGCTAAGGAAACTACTTAATGCTCCACCTTATGTCTCCAACCTTTCCATTCAGCAAGATCTCAGGATGAACTCCTTCAAAGATGAAGCAAAACTCTACTATTAGCGGTTTCACAGTAGGTTACTTAATCATCCTAACCCTCTTATAAAAAATCTAGCAGTCCCTTCGATTCCGGGTAATCCCGTCACAAACGACGTCTCAAACGTCATTGGTGTCGTGACCTGCTAGATGCTTGAATCCTAGATCAAATCCTCCTACTAAACTCTAAACAAAATAGGTAGTGTCATAATTGGGTGGCTTCTTCCGTTATATTACTCATGTTTTTTATTACTCTTATCTAATTTGCTTATTGTTCTCTGAATAGATTGTAAATATTTTGTAAAAATAAAAAAAAAAACATTGTTATATAACTATTTAATTTTTAATAGTTGACGCTTATCATATATTTAGTATTAAGTGTCGATCCTAATTATTAAGAAAGTTCAAGGAATTAAATAGATTGAGCTTGGCAACATAATTTATTTTAATTCTTTTGCAAGCTACTGTATTATATTGTTGAACGCTCGGCTCTAAAAACAAGTTTCCTTAAGATAACCAGCATTTTGTATGCAGTCCGAAAAAACAGAAATTTATCGTTATCTCTCTTTACGATATGCATTGTTTTCCCCCTGAATATTTTATATGCATAATATTATTTAATATACGCCTACATATTTATTAATTAGGTGGTGTCCTTATTATTGAAATAGAAAAAATAAATTACCCACTTTTAATGGACATAATATAGTGGTATAAAGTTTTTACTTGGATGTCTTATTTCTTTTCACAAGAGTGGACTTTTACTTTTACCGTTTTAAAAAGAAAAATTAATTTATAAATGCCTCATAGTATTGTATTAATTATTGTTATTATTATAATATGAACAATATTTAGAATTATTTTACAACTTTTTAAAAGTTCTATGTGTATGACGTAGGTAATGTAACATATTTATGACATTCAAAATTGTGAAATTCGTGGGTATATGAAACAGGTTAAACATATTTTAATAAACGAACAAGTATAATTGTGTTCGTTTGGCTATAATATTTAAACTACTTTTATTGTTTTTATATTATTATTGAAACATTTACAAACTATTTTGCTGATTCTTTGAACAGTAAATAGTAATTGTAAAGCTTATCGTTCCTATTTTATAGTTTTTATTTTTCTAAAACATTGTTTTTTTTAAACGTTGCAGTTTGTATAATAGCCTTGATTTTGCATTTTTCATTTCATTGCAATGTTAATTATTTGCCTATTTATTACGTTTTTTTTTTTTTTTATAGTCTTCAACTCAGTTCTTATAGAAAATGTATTCTAACATAATCATAGATAAATTCAACTTTGCTTAAAAACCTGATTACAACTCATTGCATAATGTGCACACAATATGAGCCTATTTTAAACGAATATGAAAAAACTGGTGATGTTTCCTTAGTGACTAACATTTATTTTTGTTTCTAAATTTCCTAAATGACTACAAATATCATTTTTATAGTGTTTAAACAGTTTTAAAGTGTAATTGTTTTAAGTTTTAAATTTTAGGTAATTACCATTAAAAATTATACAATATGCAACTATGTAAGTTTTTATAAAATAAATAATTACTCCCAAAAATTTATTTAAAATGTCAATTTTATTTTATTGAACAATGAAAGTTAATGATAATTTTTTTGATTGTTAGTCAAACTACAAGGCTCACATTTTATAGAATTTGTTTCAAAGTGTAAATAATTTCAATATAATATTTTATTTTGTACATTTTACCGTTTAAGGTTTATTACTTTTTAGTGCTAATATAACACAAGTTTTTAAGTTTATATTTGTTTTTATCCTAGTATTTTAGCTAAAATCGACATGTACTTCGTATCAGTGTTAGGAAAATCGTGAGATGGTATCTAAAGTATTGGGGTTATTTTTAGGTAATCTTAGAAGCTTTAAATTTGGAAACGCTGCTGAGCATTTAATCATGGGATGTAATTTTTAGGAGGATGCGCACCATTGGCTTTCTTTCTCTGACCCACTCGAAATATAAAACATTTATGTTGAACAAAACCAACCTAAAATATTAGATTGAATTCACCTATTATCAAACTTTAAGTTAAGAACAAATTGTGTCCCAACGTTGAATATTTCAATTTTTATACAATTTATAATCATTTATAACTATAGTAATTTACACGCTTATTACTTACATAAAAATTAAAATATCATAAAATACCCAACATAAGGATACAGGTAACGTTCCTAACTTAAAATTTGATAATAGGTGAATTCACTCATGGCTTTAATATGCAAGATTATTGTAATAGTATCCCCACTATCATAGGCGCAAATTGGGGGGTGCTAAGCTCCCCCCCCCCAAAACCTAGGACATGCAATTTTAAAATGCTATATTGCAATGGTCTGCTTGCCTTTAATATATTCAGCCCCCCCCCCAAGTCAAAAGTTGAAATTATATAATTTCCATTGTATAATTTTATTACGTTAAGGAATTAAAATGACAGCGTAGGGGTCGACCTATACTGGCCATACTCAGATATTATATACTAAGATATTATGGACTCTACCCTTTTACGCTGCCATTTTATTTTTGTTTGATAACAATATAGGCTATGTGTAAAAACCTTGTATATTTAAGCCATGAATTCACTCTAGTATTAAAAGAATCCACACAGGGATTGGTTCTACTAAAAATAAATTTGCTATGTGCACATGGGTCAGAGAGATAAAACAAATAGTGCACTGGCATCATCTTAAGAGGACGTAATACCCGCATGTGTTGTATCCGTTTTAAGCTAATTGTACGCTCCGCAGAACATGTGTAGCTTTGTTAGTTAAAAAACTAGAGTGAATTGACTTCTTATAAAATTTAAAGGTAAGATTATTATTTAGGCAATATCATATGCTTTTTATTATATTGCGTAAATAATAATCTTACCTTTAAATTTTATATGAGGTAAATTCTCTCTAATTTTCTAACTAACGTAGCTACACGAGTTCTGCTGAGCGTACAATTTGGTATGTTACGCGCTCGTAAGAAGGAGACAATACATGCGGGTATCACGTCCTCTTAAGGTATACCGTTAACACTATGTTATATATTTATATAAAACAAATCATAAATAATTTTTTTTTTGATAACATTTACTTCAAGAAACGGCTGATAATTTAACAAAAATATTAATTTATATTATTGTACAATAATAATTATTATAAATATTAATACCCTTGGACAACATTTTTATATTTATTTTGAGAATATACCTAATATAATATAATAAATTGTATGTTTGAAGATTTTTCAATTCAAATCACAGTGCAATAAAATCCAATTCCTGCTAATTAATGACAATAAAAAAATTAGATTTCTTAAACAAATAGAAACATTATTAAATATTTAAAGGAAAAATATTTTAGATGCTCTATAAATTAAAAGCAAAAAAGTACAAGTACTAGGTAATAAGCTCATTTTTTAGGAATGTGCCTTGTAAATATTAAGTTTAGCTTGATTTAATTTACATTTTTAGGGTTTTTCTTGCGTAAATAGGTATAACTTAGAATCTACAGACTACAATCTCGTTCGTTATATCTATTTATTTAATATATCGTTATAACATAACCCACGATACGGGACCAACCAATTAAATCACCTCTTGAGTATTTTTTTTTTATAATTCCGTCTATTACATGAAACATTAAGTTGTACAACCCTATAGAATGTGTTGTACTAGTTAGCGATGAACAGTTGGATAGTGGGGGGGGGATTATCCAAACAAGTAAGTTGATCGTCACGTACCACCTTATCTATGACGTAAACTTATGATTATGAATGGCTTGGTAAAAAATTCCAAGTATCTCGATCGTTAACACGATGGAAGGAAAAACGTGTATAATTATTGTTTAAACTGTCATTGAGGGCTTCGTAAAGTAGTTGCGGTATGGCTATCAGCGGACAAGCCGCCGCAACACTGCGACAACGCACCTTGGCCCGAAACCAGGTGGCGGTACAGTGCCAGCCGGTGGCGGCGTTGTCGCTTCCTATAACCGGTTTCTGATCGTATGGTTCCCCTACCTCTTTCGCCATCGTCACTTGGTCACGCCCTGTCCTCCGCCGTTTTTTTTACTCGTCAAAACGTAGCCCGCCGTAGCAGCGGTTAACTCGGTCCGTCTTCCCGGCCGCCCGGCGCTCAGGCCTCAGACGCTCTGCCTCAGTCACTAGTCACCACTCACCAATTCGCTTGCCAGTATTCAATAGTGTACTAGTGTACCAGCACCTGCATAACCGTTATTATTGTCGCGTCCATCCGCTCTCATCGCCGCCGCGTTACAAAATATGTGCAACGGATATTAATAATAATTTTTTCTGTCGACCGTTTTTCATCCCCTCGGCCAGCTGGACGTGTGTGTGGTAGTCTAGTGTTCTTCAGTTAGCTTGAGTGCATCCCAACTGCATCGTTTTTACGTGATTGTGCGACTCGTTAGTCGTCTGTGTGTGTTGTTGCTGCCGCCGCTACTGCATCGTGTTCTCAGAATTACAGCGACAAGATGGTGTCCGGAAAAACTGTAAGTCCTGTAGTCATGGAACGAACATAATATTGTGGATATCGTGAAGAACGATTCGTGTCTAAATACTGACGATGATATTTAAAAAAAAAACAACCATTCCACACAACATTTTTTTTACATTATAGCTTATTATCAATTCATAACATTCCACGTTGGTTATTCATAACAGATCACAGTATTAATATTAAAAAAAAAATCCAGCAGGGACGTTTTAAATGCCTGCATGACGTGTATAGCCAACTGGTTTTTATCTGCTTGTTTCCCGCCAATTTAGGAGATTCCAAAACAAAACACAATACTTATGACTTATATAATAATATGTATAACATAAACATTTTTGTAACGAATTGAACCGTGCAAACGGCAGGGAAGATATTATGTTGGTGGGTCGGATTATGTTTCGTTTTTAAATTAATTTTTCAACCGTTGCGTGTTTCAGATGAACGTGAGGGTGACCACAATGGACGCCGAGTTGGAGTTTGCTATCCAGCAAACTACCACCGGCAAACAGCTATTCGATCAGGTTGTAAAAACCATTGGCTTGAGGGAGGTATGGTTTTTCGGCCTGCAGTACACTGACAACAAAGGCGATATGACCTGGATCAAACTGTATAAAAAGGTATCAGTTGATTTATTGTTTTTTTTTTTCTGATGCTATATAGGAACAGCATCAATGTATTATGTATTATATTATCATTGTAAAACCTCAGATGGTGTTTAACACTTCGAAACACAAGTATATTTGAAACCATACGACCTTGGGGACAAGCCGTAGGTATTATATTATGGGTTTTTGTCGAGTTTTGTCTTGTCTATTTGTGATCGAACCGCTTCATAAAAACTGTCTATTAGCATTCTCGAAGACTCTTAGTACGCGTGACTAATGCGTTAGTGCCAAAGTCACAGTTTAATGTCATCGAACAATTAGGTTATGCAAATCCATGAATATTTCGTAGACTTGTAAAAGCAAACATCTCCATTAACCACTGAACAAACAACACTTAATAATTAAGATAATGTACTTTTGACATTGTTTTTGGAACACTTTTTATTAGGTACTAATATTGTCAAGCGGTAGTTTTACATAATAATCGTTTATGAAATATTATAGCCACTTGTTGATATTTATTACTCCACCTGCTCACATTTATCTTGTTCCGGCGAAAGATGCAACAAGTGTTCTGTGAAAATCGTGTTCTGATAATGATGAAATATTAATACTAAAAATTAAAAAAATGGGTTTTCCTTTTATTCTTAATGTTGTATAAGAAGTTTGATAACGAGACTTTTATAAATAAGTTTTTTCTAATCAGTATCAAGAATTTGTTTTCAAGCGTTATTATTTAGTTTCTACTATATTGAGATACGCATGTTCTTCAATGATTTTTTTTCAATATAACATTACTAGTATACCTGTATAAATTGGTTTATATTTAAATAAATGTACTTATAAAACTTGAAGAAAATTTGTATAAATTTCCATAATAGATAATATTCTCTTTAAGGTTCAATTGAGGATTGTAAGAGGTAGACAATCAAAATTACACAACCAACCGTTAAATTATTTAAATTTAATTATTAAATGTTTCGAGTGCTTAAATAATTTGAAACTTAGAAATGCATGATTTTTTTTTTTATTGTTGCCTAATAACAATTTCGTATGCTTTTAGCCACGCTATTTTATAAAAATATTACCTTTAATGAATGTTTCATTTTTCATTTTTCCTCTATATTCAATCTCCGTGACTTTCGATATTAATTAAAAAGCCCGGTTAAACCGGATGTATCCATTATAATTGACGGCTAAACACCGATTTCTCTTTAAATTATTGTCAACGTGGTTTCTATATTCACTACTAATACTAACCTACCATATAAGTGTGCATTTTTTTCTTTTAGATATTCGTAAATGTTTTTTTGGTTCAAATTCAAAAACGTATATAGTTATAAAGGTAAACTCTTTTGCGTAAAGATGTAATATTTATTGCACATTTCTCAAATCTTTTAATCAACAGAAAGTGAAGAAGACTGATTGGAATATATTTTTGATAAATTATTCCAATAGCATTTCTCAGGCATTTACAGAATTATCAAGTGTCAGAGCGTTTCGATATTTGGCCTTGTCTCGTGAACATACCGTATACTACTTTCTAAAACGAAGATACATCATTGTGTCAAGGTCACTAAGTGCCAGCAAAATCGCGTGTGGTATTATGCCGTCATTGCCCATCAGTATAAACTACAAGTTCATAAAAAGAACCACATACAACAGTAAACAGAGAGAAAATCGCGGAAAATTTTGATTTAGTCTGTAATATTATGATTTATGATCAATAACTGTATAACAAGATAAACAGAATCATTTCTTGAACAACATTTTTGTGATAAATAAATTATATCATCTATCATTCTATACCTATAACCTGTGTAGTATATACTAATATTAAGTTACAGAAATAATAATCATATCATATTATTTACCAATTTACCAGACAGAAAGTTTTTTAAAAGATTCTACAACTATTTCCGTATAGTAGGTCTATTTGCCCAATATTTTTGGGCATTCCCTGTTTAGGAATTTGTATCCTGGTGTCTCGAAGAACTTCTTTCGGACTTTGTGTTATTACTGGGTTTGACCAATAACAAAATAAGGTCTCGGAATTTAACTTGAGTAAGATAAATTATGATTTATAATAGTTTGTTTTTTTCTGGTGATAAATGACTGTTAACCTATCGAGTAAAGAAATTAAAATTTTTTATAAATTCTTAATTAGATTAAAATTATATAGTTGTTAATTGCTATATAGCGAGTCTATAGTTGGTGATGCTTTGAAGAGATAGTATTTTTTAATTTTTATACCGTGTTTGGATTTTTGAAATGTTCTTAAATGATTTAACCCTAAGTCTGCATGCATTTTAATCATGATTTTTACTTATGATCTGTCTTTTTTGAATACCTTACAATTGTTAACCAACATTGATTGCTGATAATTGTTGGTTAAAATGTTCAACTAAGACTGGTATTTTAAAATTATTTTTAGTAGAACCTGTAGTATTTAAATTATGACTTGAAATCTGTTGATACTCGCAAGGTTACTCATATTATAGTCATTAGTCATTACTCATAACTATTCAATAGATTTTTTAAATCTTTACTCGTAATTTTTTTTATGAGTACTTAAAATTTAATATTAATAACATAATCAGAATATTTTTTCGATTGCAATGATTTATGCTTTTCAAATTTATATTTGTAATTCTGTATCCTAGATGATAAAAAATTTGATTTTCAATTTCAAATAGTGCGAAGTATTTTGTTTAGACGATTTCAATTATATTCAAAGTTTTTGCATGAGTTCACCACGGCCTCTATTTGTATTATTATTTTTTTGATTTTATATCAATTTCTATACTATTATCGGTAATCTTATAAGCTCTAAGGCGACTAAAACGTAAGTGGTGTCGAGATCTCTTACGTAATTAGCATATTGTATATTCAAGCTTCTCAAGTTGAATTTGTCATCACTAGGTGGCATATATATTATATAAATATTTAGTTAATGAACACGTTTGAAATGTTTTATGCCGGGTAATTTTTATATATTTGATTATATTTTATGTATATAATTATACTTTTAGATTCTGAGCGGAGCGAGGAAGCTAGTGGTTTTACAAAGGTGTTTATTTTATATTTTTTTTTTCTTATTATTATCTTGTATACAAAATTTATACCAGAAGGAGTGCTTCGATTTCAACATAGTGTACCTTATCTTTTAGCAAATTGGATCAAGATGGTACTTTAGAAAGATCATTTTTCAATTTTATCAACAGTTATTTAATGCCACGGAAAAAATGGGATTTTAATTTCTAACGCTTTGTTTATCATCATAGAAACGAATAAAAAATATAAATATTATAATATTAATTCAACTTACATGATATTATAATAAATAATAACAAAATAAAATATCTAGACTGACAAACCATCTCCGCTCAGAATCGTTTTTCTTATACAATGATATTATTTCATTGAATTCAAGTTTGATACAATCCATTATACAATGACCCACCTGTAACCTACTGTACAGCAGAGCGACATCCACTTAACAGCTTTTTTTAAAATACGTTATTAATGGTAATCAATAATATTATAATAAGGGCTACCATCTAAGAAAATTATGTGTGTGTGAATATATTAAGATTTTATGATTATTGATTATACTAAACTACTTTAGAAAAATTACAACCAAATACATTGATATTAGTATTGTTAGTATTAATCACTCGTTATTTTTTATTCGTTCTTGTATTTCTGGTAGTGTAATCAAATGTTCATATAATATCTTACTTTACATGCGCAGCCTGAAAATATTTGCAAAAAAATATGGAATTTATGGAACAGGAAATCAATTGTTGAAGAATCCATTGATTATTTTGATCCAAGACATAAATATTGGTTACAGGTATCGTGCATTCCTCTTGAACACTCGACGTAATATTAGATAAGCATTACAAGTATTGCTTTGATCAACCCGATATATTCAATACATTGTTTTAGCTTACATACACGCACATACACATATTATAATCATATTTATAATATTATTCTGTTCTTTTTTTTTGCGTGTATCCCTACAGTCATTCTAATTTTCCGACTGACCATTTGTATTGTTAGTGTCCTTCGCTACACAATTGCTGACATTATAATAATGAGTTTACCCACATTGTTTAATTTGTTTTTATGGTTTTCCATCACAATATAGTTGTGTTATACAGTGAATATTATATTTATGTACCTAGTTTCCTTATATGCCTATGTAATTTGTATTATTAGTAAACCTTTACATAAACAATTGAATTGAATCAACACAATATGTCTTTCCATTTTACTGTTTTGGTAACAACTGATACACTATGAAAATGTAATTTTCATTTTTCCGATCCAAATTATTAACACTGGTTAAATATAAATCAATTATCTCGTTTAATCCAGATAATAAGAAATATTATACTATTTGTTTTTTAAAAAAAAACCTATTATTATTTTTGTTTAACAAACATTAGTGTGAAAATAAAAATGTAATTTGTGTGTATTAATAAATTAATAAAAATATAATATATGAACCGAGGTTAAAGAACTGGTTGTGTGAACATGTTCAGGTGATGATAATAATATATACTTCTCTATAACGATGATATAGCTGCGTGCGTGTATTTCGTTGACTGTTCTACTTTCTTTTAATCGTAATAGTAATATAGTCTGTATTGTAATTTTAATTATATATAATATTAATATCCGTGAAGTATGTGAATCCAAGAAATTACTTTATCATTTATCTACTTGGTTACGCATTGAAAAAATTATATTTTATCCTCACGTAGAAGCCGTAGAGGTCACGATCTCGACCTTCGTTATATTTTCTTAATTTTAATTGTAGTCATAGCATAAGTGTTGGAAAATCAGTTATGTTTCCTAAGAAATTCACGTTCGAGTTTCGTATATGTTAAAAACGTATTTTTTATTCTCGTCACTATTTCATGGCACAAATTCTTTTCAAGGTCAACAGTAAAATGTTAGGTTTTTAATGAAGGTTTTTCAATTTTTTCCTTGCATATGATTATCTATTAAGATAATTATTTATGACATTTTTATGTTTTTAGCAATTAGCTACATATAGAAATTGATAAGATGTATTAAAGTTATAATGAACAATCTACTTTAATTTTGAGAATTAATAAAGATCTTAATATTTTAAATACTAACATCTTCGAGTTTTTCCAGAGGAATATTTATTCTTTATATTCTGTGAAGAATTGTTTTTTGTGTTTTTTTTAGCTTTTTCACCACCAACTTATTATTCTAAATTGTATGACTATGAAATAAATGAAAAACATTATTTAAAAAAAACTCTTTAAATATAAGCCACACCATCATTTATTGTCTTCGTCTTACAGGTTCGTAACATTCAATTCAATTTAGGCACAGACGCACATCATTTCACGTTTTATTATTGTAGTGGATTGACCTATCAAACTTAAATGTAATCAAACTTCTGTATGTTTGTACATCTGATTTTACGATATTTGGATTTGAGCATGTATAATGTATTAATGTTGCAATTTAAAAATTTAAATATTTTAAAAACTAACTTATAAACACAAATTATGTGTTTGATAATAATTAAATTTACACTAAGATTATTTATAATTTATAAAATCGTAGCTAATGAAGCTAAACGTTATTATGCACTTGTAAGACAGAGGAGTATGGACTATATAGAGCACAACAAATTCGGGTGTGGCATTAAGAATTAAAATAGTATCAGCAGGTGATATATACATTTGTTGATAATCAGTTATACCCGAAAATTATATTCACGTATTATGATTATCTAAATAATGTGAATATTACAAAATTCCACTAATAAATATCGAAAATATCGAAAATACGATGTCTAGGATCTATGGTTGTTATTAGATATTAAATATCTATTACAAATAATTAGGAAAATATTTTGGACATATGTCATATTCTTTTATTGCTTACACACATTTCTTCCTTCTTGTCTTATTAAATTACTTAATATACTTTGTAATTTATTCATTATTTAATGTTTTACAAAATTGATGTGACATTATTTCGAAAATGTTCTCTTTAGGTTAAAACTTTTTACTGTAGTATTATTGTATTAATCTTCACTATTACTTTTTTTCTTTATTGTCCGTTAGATAATTTGGTTATATTATACCTAATGGTATATCATCGGAGTAACGTAATAGTATATCACGTATTCACTTACAAAGCGTATTCATAAGACTTCATCATTTTACAATTAATTATAACATTTAAGTAATTAAATATCTTTCCTAATTCCTCAAATAATTTATTTGTAACATGTTGCCATAATTTGAATTTTTTATGTATATATAAAATTGTATTTAAGTATTTAACCAAATTTTAAATAGATAAAATTGAATTGCCGTTTAATTTTCCTCAAATTATTTTTTATTGTGCCTTAACAACAATTGAAAATAGTTATATAATATTATGAAGTATAATTATCCTATAATAATAATTATTATTTGTTTTCGTAGCATGTATTATTTTTAACTGATAAGTTATCGTTACATTTAATCATAATTTATTATTATTTGAATTTGCACATTTCCTTGCTGTTAATCAAATAAGTTATTCTATATCAATTAATTTCTTTTATATAATTAGGTCATGAGCCAAGATGTTAAGAAGGAAAACCCACTTCAATTCAAGTTCCGAGCCAAATTCTATCCAGAAGATGTCGCAGAAGAACTTATTCAAGATATTACTTTGAGATTATTTTACTTACAGGTAATAATTTTATAGTAATACGAATTCTTCACATTCTTACATAAAATTAATATACACGTATCAATTTAACCACGTAATAAACTAGGTACTATAATAAAGATAAATATGTACCTATCATACTAATAAAGTAATGAGTAATAATTACATTTAATAATTAAACGTATAATGATATCAATAACTATTGTTTTGTTGAAAACCTCCAATAATTAATGTTTTACCTATTGTGCCTTAAAATTATTAGTACTTCTGAAATGTAATTCCTATTTATGACTATTTGCGAAATATTTAAACTACTATCAATATTAATTTCTATTAGAATAAGAACAATTTATTTAGTAATGTATAGATGATAAGATTTTACATTTTTTCGTACCGAACTATTTAATTGGCAAAAATAACCTATTTAGTTATGATTAATGACCTCATGAGGTATAGTCGCGTAGAGCATATTTTTTGTAAATAATTGGTAATAATAGAAATATTACAAATATTTGTTTAAATATTATTTATAGTAAGTCATGCACGGTCTATAGATATAAAACAAAATGTTCGCATAATAATTCTGATATTTTAATACATCTAGTTTTACCTAGTTATTTAAATATTAATTAAAAAATTAGGAATAGCTGTTTATGGAAATATAATCATTTCCTGAGAAATTTTTGAATTAATATACTAATTAATTTAGAGTGCTTACTCTATTCTGGTTCTACGATAATTTGATTCATGTCATGCAGAATAGAAAAATATAATTCACAACCATAGAACTACATTGAGTGAAAATGTATGGTACTATGGTTTGTCAAAATATGAGACATTCTTTGGAAGTTTTAGGTGGTTTATTGGAACATATGGGGAGCGTCACAATTCTTCGTGTTCACCAATACTGTACACAATACCGTGTATCTGCAATAATAATTTATATTTATACCATTTTTGTCCTATCCATTCTGTCAATCTCAAAGTGAATTGTTTAAAATTTGAAAATATCTTCTTTAAAGTAAAATTTGTATTTAATTTCCAATATATAAAAACTAAAATTCTGATTAAATCTTTTATTATCCCAAAAAGTGTTTTGATAAAATAATAAAGGAACAAACCTATTGTATAACATTAAAATAACTAACAATATCTCTGATCAAAATCTAAAATTAACAAATTTAAATAAATTTGTTGTCATTGTACCTTCCTTCGAAATAATATTTAAGAAAATAATATGTATTAATTACTCTCTACCTAGTATACATTTTATTCGAGAACGCCTTGGCCAATCCCGTATCTATCTTACAAGTACGGAACATGGAGTCTGCTATTAGCAGATTTAACTATTTAACAGTTCACTTTAGTTTCGTAAAATAATATTACGAGTGAATTGACATACCTATTGAAAAACTTTGTACCTACATTTTTTTTTTGCAGGTTTTAATTTTAAAGCTAGTTATAAATGTGTAAAATTAAAATTTGTCATAATTGGCTTTTAAATTAAAGAATTGAAAAGCCCTCCGAAAAAAACGAATTTTATCATACATTTATAGGTTTAAAGTCTATAGATTTTATTCTTATTTTGAATTTAACAAAATAAAACAAAAGCTGCTCTATTACATTTTGTCTTAATAAATGCGGGTGTGGCGTCCTATTATCCCGGCTTCCCATGACGCGAGGCTCGGTTCGTGGAGCTTGTAACCTTAGTATTATAATCAGTGGTGTGATTTCAGTTTTTGAGCGGGAGGGGGTTTATTTTTGACCCGGCCATAATAAAACTGAGAAAAAAAGCTCGCTAACAATTACATTACATTACAATAATTGCATTTTGATCTCAATACAAATAGCCTCCTTACATAATTTATTGTATACTTACTAGTTACTATCATCTGGGTGGGATAACCGTGGTTAGTGGTTACTGGTTACTATCATAGGCATAAATAAACCATTTTTTTGAGAGATAACAATGACTAAATAATTAATACATAATAATATGTAGATTGTAGAGGAGGGATACCTTAATATATTACCTATTGCTACTTTATGAAGGCCCAAAACTAGCCCATACCCGCCCCCTTCAAATTGCGCAGTGGGAATAGCAAGGCTCGAAAGATCGCAAGGTACATCGCGGCGTGGCTCACCGAAGATCGCCTCTAATCACACACCATGGGGAATCTGGTTTAAATATAAAATATAAATTATTTATTTTCATAAAAATCTTCAACTTTATTTAGAACAAAAATAAGCCGTAAATTATATTTTTTATTATTGAAGATACTAATACTTAATGTTCCTTTGTAGTATTTAATCTTAAAAATATACCTTATTTCTTAGGTGAAAAATGCCATTTTATCTGATGAAATTTACTGTCCGTCAGAAACATCTGTATTACTTGCTTCATATGCTGTTCAAGCAAGGCATGGTGATTTCAACAAACTCACTCATACTCCTGGTTTCCTTACTAATGATCGCTTGTTACCACAACGGTAAATTGTTAATAGTATATATTAATAGTTGTACATTTAAATTAAATATGAGCATAATTTTAGTGTTATGGATCAACATAAAATGACACGTGAAGAATGGGAGTCAAGCATTACTACATGGTGGCATGAACATAGAGGCATGATGCGAGAAGATGCCATGATGGAATATTTGAAAATTGCCCAAGATCTTGAAATGTATGGAGTTAACTACTTTGACATTCTCAACAAAAAAGGAACTGAATTGTTTTTGGGTGTTGATGCCCTTGGTCTCAATATATATGAAAAGGATGATAAGTAAGAAACATTGTTAAGACTAAAAATTAAATATAATTTTATTTTTAAACATTTATTATTCTAGATTAACTCCAAAGATTGGCTTTCCTTGGTCTGAAATCCGTAATATTTCATTCAATGATAGAAAGTTTATCATAAAACCTATTGACAAGAAAGCTCCTGACTTTGTATTCTTTGCACCACGTGTTCGTATTAACAAACGTATTTTGGCTCTTTGTATGGGAAATCATGAATTGTACATGAGGAGACGTAAACCTGATACTATTGATGTACAACAAATGAAAGCCCAAGCAAGGGAAGAAAAACTTGCCAAACAACAACAAAGGTAATTAAAATTTTTTTAAAATAAATTGTTATATAATGTAACAACCTACATTTAAGATGAAATTTTTTTTTAGAGAGAAACTTCAACTAGAAATAGCTGCCAGGGAAAAAGCTGAAAAAAAACATCAAGAATATGAAGAACGCTTAAAAGTCATGCAAGCAGAAATTTCTAAACGTGAACAAGATTTGCTCAGTGCTCAGGTACTCTAAACTATATTATTATATATTTATATTGTATTAATAATTATTTTATAAAACATTTTAGGATATGATTCGTCGTTTGGAGGATCAATTGAATAAACTTCAACTAGCTAAAGAAGAACTTGAGCAAAGACAAAACGAACTTCAAAAGATGATGGAACGTTTAGAAGAATCAAAGAACATGGAAGCAGTAGAAAGAGCCAAATTAGAAGAAGAGATCAAAGCTAAACAAGAAGAAGTAATGCGTATTCAATCTGAAGTTGAAACTAAAGACGAAGAAACGAGACGTTTACAAGTTAGTATATTAATATATATATTTATTTTAAATTAATAGCTTAAAATAGTATAAACCCAACCTGACTAAATGGTACATTTTTAAAATTTAAATGAAATTCTTTTGTATTATAATAAATACACATCACCATGTTCAATTTGGTACTTGAGATTTGTTGCATTATCATAATCAACATTTATTTGTCATGGTATAAAACTTAATTTTTAAATGAAAAATTAACTTCTAAATTATAATATCGTAATGACTAGTTTCCTAGTTTTCTCGTAAAAAAAAACTATAAAGGTATGTTTTATACTAAATTAAATAGATAAAACGGTATAACAAAATGAAAAATACAGATACTAACTTTGAGGTATGCTATTTACATGACAGTGGCGGCAATAAATAACAATGATTTTTTTATTATTTTCCGTGGTGATTTTGTGTTACCATTCAGCTGGATCCATGTCCCCCGATTGAGAACCACTGTTCTTATACTCTGTACCAAATAAGAGCGCACCTCGTTAGCGCATCCAAATGAATCGCAGAGTGATGTCCGGACCCCTGGCCAGGTCTATTTGCTCTGTCATTGGTCGTCGTTAGTCGTCTATATTGGCCAAAGACACTACCCTACTGCTGCTGCGGTAGCGCTCTCTGTCACGCTCGAGTTTCGACCGGTTTTCGTGCTCTCTTATTTGGTAGAGACTATAGTCTATACTATCACAGTCTTCACTTAACTCTTAAATTATTAACAATATAATACAATCAGTACAGTAATTTAATTAACATCCTTTTTTTATTTAATAGGAGGAAGTAGAAGAGGCAAGACGTAAACAAGAAGAGGCTGCAGCTGCAGCACTTGCTGCTGCCGCAACCCCCAAGCATCATCATGTTACTGAAAATGAAAATGAGGATAATGATGAAATGGTCAATGGTCATGAAACACAAGATTTAGACACTGATATGGATATTGTTGATCCAGTAGAGGAACGCCGTACCCTCGCTGAGCGCAACGAACGACTTCAAGATCAATTAAAGGTAATTATATTATTATTAACCCTACATGATAAAATATTATAATATATTTTATTTTATGAATGTGTAGATGTTAAAACAAGACTTAGCTCAATCACGAGATGATACCAAGGAGACTGCCATGGATAAAATTCATCGTGAAAATGTGCGCCAGGGACGAGATAAATATAAGACTCTGCGTGAAATTAGAAAAGGCAATACAAAGCGCCGAGTTGATCAGTTTGAAAACATGTAAACACATGCTCATACTGTACAGGGTAGTTATTCAATTTATATAAGCATAAAAAGCCTGTAAGTCCAAGATCATTATGTGTCCAGAATTACAAGACCATTTTACATCTTGGTCTGTAATTATGAATATTATTAAATTACTATTTATTAAGGTTGTAATAACAAAAATGGTTGAACAAGTTATGTAAAATTTTTTTTTAAATTTAGTTAGTTTTTATTAAATTTATTATTTCCTTAATTTTTTAAGTACCTTTATTTATTGATGTATGATTTTATTGTTGAGTATAATAATTGCTTATAATAAAATTATATTTATGTGCCCAGTAAAATGTAATCATGCACTCAAGCAGGACATCATATTACTAATTATTTATCACTCCTTTCACATTCCAAAAACAAAGGGAGGGGGCACTTAATTCTTTCTGCTCAATATCTTTGTCTTAAATTAAAACACGAACAATATTTAAAGCCTAACACTATTTTATTATTATTATTATTATTATTGTTATACAATTATTATCTTGATTTATTTATTATTATACATTTCTTTTATTATTATTATTAACATTACAAAAGCTTTGAAACAATTAATTATAATTATTTTATAATAATAAATGATTTTATTTTGTGGTCTTTTCTAGACCAGTATTATTTATGATGAAAAAATTATTCATGTATACTTTATTATTATTATTTTTTTTTTTTTGTCAAGCTAGTATACTACATGTTTACTTATTAATTATTACTATACAAAATACATATTATTATTAATATATATTTTTTCAAAAAAAAAAACAAATTGGAAAATGTGTTATCATGTTTTAATTTTTTATAAATTATTTATAAAAAAAAGTATTCTACCTAGTAATTTTGTGACATGAACTTACTTTATCACTAAAATAGTGGTGAAATTAAAGGAGAAAGGTGTGCAATTGACCCTTATCTGATTTTCAACCCAATGTGCCATTGTTGGTGAAACATACAATTTTTATAATAGTGTATGAGTTCTGTATTTAAAGTATCTACAGTTATTCATTTTTGAATTATAACAAAATTTCAAAATTTGATTGAGAAGAAAAAGTTAATTTACAAGTAATATTTAATGTCAAATAAATTTGAATTTCAAACGAATTTCAAATAGCTATAAATAATATAATATGACTGCTAAACTTTCTTTATGTTAAATATTTTTTTGGTTAAACCCTTAAGGAGACTAGACACCCTAATTTAGCATTACCTATCCTCCAGACCTTTTTTAGTAAAAATACCACCATACACAAGTAGCTAGGACGGTACTTTATTCACCATTAGCATAGATTAAAATATAAACTATTACCAAAACGTGTACGCATGCAACGACCGAGAGGATGCGCTGTTAGGTGTTTTCACAATCCGCAAGCACACTGCGTTTAAGTCACGCCTACTATTCGAAATTCGCAACCGGACGACGGCCGACGAGTGCTCGTTCAGTCGTTCGTGAGCGTCGTTTATTTGTCTATGAACGTTCGTCCAGTATGATTCGTACCATTATAAAATTCATTATACTCAAATGCCGCCGTAATATTTTCAATATCCTCGTGTACCTATAAACTATACCGATTATAATTTAAGATACTCCTTACCTAAATTTATGTCCCGATATATATATATATCTGTTTTATAACATAGCTATTGATTTGTATTTATTGAATTATTACTTATTCAAATATATCTAATACTTATAGTAAAATCTAATAATTGGTAAATACAATTAATACAGCTCAATTCAATTAATATTAATTTTCCGTGATTTATCTTTTACGTTCAACTGTTAATGTTACCTATATTAAAATATGATAATAAGTAATTACGAATATTTTTTTAAATAATAATATGTTGGTAGTAGGTATAACCTATACCTAATATATTATAATATACACAAAATCGATTTTCTCTTAGTTTTTAGTGTAACTACCTATATTTTTAAAATATTTTGACTCATTTTGAGCTGTTTACGGACAATTTCAATTTTCTTTGTTTGGCCAAAAAGCGTGAAAATGTAATACAAGGCTGCTGATATATTGTTACAATAATTCTCGTTATCATTACTATATATTTTTTTCCGTGTAGCAGTTGAAAATTATTAAATTTAGTTACATGGGCACAATTTTTTTTATAAGCATTTAAAGTTGGAATTTTGACAAAATTGATCAAAATCTTGAAAATTATGAATTATTAAACTTAAAAAATTTTAAGTTTTTATAACTAAGGATTATCAAAATGTATTACTTTGTTATCACGACCTTTGAATAATTTATAACATTTTTCTCCGGCTCTCGTATGTCAGATGCCATCAGACGATATTTATGGAGCGGATCAACTATTTCTGGTAGTTAACACTGTAAATAAAATCTGAAACAAAATATTTACATGCAAATAGTTATGTAAATATTATAGGTATGTATGCGTATATATATGTATTATTTCCATGTATTGTATTATGTTATAAAACTAATTTAACTCGCAAACAATATAATACATTTTTTTTGTTTTTTTTTGCAAGACTTAGGGCCAGTTGTACTGTCTATGATTAAACTATTATTGAGCTTAATCAGCTGATAAGTTATAACAGATATTTAAACGGGCAAATTCGGCTGATTAAACTCTGATTAACCATATATGGCCCTTACGTTTTTAATTTATCTACCATGTTTGATTGCCAAAAATTTGGATCGTAATAAATTTCCTGAACTGATATCCATTTGGGGCGTATATATTATAAAATAACACATATCACTCTGTGTTAAGTATGTGAAGTTTTCCCTGAATTTGATAAAAGTAATCGTGTGTTCTTTTTAATTTAAGTTTACCATTGTCAATGGTACAATATTTGATCTAGAAATAAATATATAATATATAAACACATTATATAATAATACCAAAATAATATAGAACTTTAATAGATTTATTTACTGAAATTCTACTAACTTTACAACTTTTTACAGCTTCATGTATATTCAAAGTCTCTTTCGCTGCATAAGGTGCTTTAATTACTACAACTTTATTATTATAGGTTATACCATCTAAGTAATAGAGTGAATTGCCATTTCCGTTAATTTATTACAATTAATTTTAATTAAATTGATAAATTGACTTACCAGGACTCGCAGCGAGGTATGGATAATCTTTATATATACATAAACCACATGCATTGACATGAATACCATATAACTGCTCAAAATGGTTTTTGCTATGTTTTCCATATCCCTACCATACTGATAGTACAGACTGATCTATTAAAAATATTGTGATATGTTAAATTATATAAATTAAAAAAAATGTATTGTATTAATAACTTACTTGCTATTGAAGCTATTGTACAAAATTGAATATATAGTATTTTTACAGCCTGTAGTTTGTCGCATCTTACAAATCCGACCAAAATTACTTGCAGTAGGTAAGTCTGGACAATCATTCAAGTCCATGTTTCGCTACCTGCTTGATCTCGAGTTTCAATTTATATCTGTGTCCGATTAACTTCATTCAGTGTTCTATGATAAGAAAATGTTTAGTATCATCTTCATTAATAAATAAGAAAATATAAATTGTTTTATGAATTACTTCACAAATGTATCCATTTCTTTAATTAAGTCGGCATTGTTTATGTTTCTTACATTGTCTAACGATTCAGCATTTCCATAATCTTTATCAGCCCTTCCTGATGTTTTGGCACTTATTTTAGGAATTTTTTTTATTGCTCGTCGTCTTTTTTGGCATAAATTACGTTTATCCAACGTTCGTTTCAAAAAAGATTTTCCTATTTTTCCTACAAATAAGACATTATTTGAAGGATTGATTACTAATAAAAAATTATAAACTTTAAATAATTTTATAAATATCTGGGCTAGCTGTGCTGCGTGTTTTCTAATTGTACGTAAGTACTCTTTCGAATTGAAACTTATTACTGCTGCCTGAACCGGAGTTGTATACGAACTTTTTTGAGTAGGTAAAATGTATACGTTTACCACCCCAAAAAAATGTATTTATTACGCTATTAAATTGTTCGCAAATATTATTATCAACATCAATAATTAAACTATTTGCACTTTTAGATAGACGAGAAGCAATAATATTTATTTCATCTGATATTTTTTTAATATTTACTACCGACAAAATATTTTGCGTTTTTATAGTAATATTTTCTTTCTTTACAACAATAAGAAGAACACTTATTGTGGTTATTGAATAACCGATGGTTTGGTACATTAATTATATCAAATCGAAGTGCTAAAATAAAATAAATACATTGTTAATTTATTGGTACTTGAAATAATGCTCGGTTTTTAACTCAACTTTACCTGATATCTTTTGAGATAATTGTGCATTTTGTGATTTTCGATATTTTATAGCACAAGTGATATCGGTTCTTGGCCTAATAATATTTTCGGATATTTTTTTCCTGATATCAATTGGCATATCAGTTCGTTTACTTAAGGCCGTCATTTTTTTGGAATAATTCCTTAGTAAATGATTCCGACATTCAATTTTTTCTACTCTTAGTGTATGGCCGATGGCCGTATGGAAGTATTCAAGTATATCATTTAAACGTTTCGTTACGCTACTATCACCATCACTTAAGTTACAAATTAATGATATTGTATAATCGCATAATTTTATTTCACTTCTTTAAAAAACAAATATAAATATAGGTAATTACCGAAAATTAATTAGTGTACAAAATTATGTATGGATTTTAATTATTATTTTAATAAATAAAAAAAGAAATTACTACCGATCAGTTTGAAATATTTAACACCATGCATTTCAACACTTTTTCAATACCTTCGGCAATACCGTCAGCTTCAATACTTGTGGCTCCCTTTTTCCAGTTCAAAAATATGCATGTTTTTATGAGACGCTTTCTCACACGTCACGCAATATGGAATTCGGATTCCAGCAAATAAAACTTTTTTGGTTTTATACAATTATTATACTTGCCTAAAATAAATAATAAAATAAAAAAGAACGGAATAAAATAAAAACATTCTTTTTATAATACCCAAATCCCCCCTCACAAAAAAAATATAGAGTAATGAGACTGCATATAAACGAAAACATGTAAACGAAATATATTATATTAACCTGTGTAAATAATTTTTTTGTACCTACGCACATACAATTACTGTCTCAGGGTTAGAAAAAACGTGTTTTTTAATAAACAAAAGAAAACAAAAAACGGCTTTTAAAAAGTTTTTTTAAGATGTTTTTTTACATGTTTAAAAAGTGTTTTTTTGGATTTTTTTTTGTTTTAAACGTTTTTTTGTTTTTATTTAAAAAAATAGGTTGGCAAGTGAGTGTCACTCTACTGTACAGCAGGATTAATTTATAAATTTACAAAAAAACACGTTTTTTATTGATGTTTAAAACTTGTGTTTTAAATGTCTAAAACAAAATCAATGTTTTTTTTCCCGATGTCTTAAACATAACAACCCTGGTTGCACTTACTCCTAATCATAATTAATATACAAATTTAATATTTTGTTATTATATTCGCATTAACTTACTACTCCCGAGAATACATCATATCTCGTACTGTAACTTCTTTTGAGTTTTCGACCACTGTCCGTCTGCTACAACAGTGACTAACGGAATTCCGTCTTTATCAACGTTACCGGATTCTAATGCTAATGTTTTCTCCTCTTCGCCGGCTTTTTTCATCTCAATCCAAGCTGTATTTTGTATTTCTTTCTGTAAATTTTTTTTTAATCATTTGATATGTATTAGCAGATATTGAAGGCACTTCTAATCCAGCAAAAAACTCAGACTGCGTAGGTATAACCAATTCCTAAAAATCAAGAGATCGACATTAACTTATAAGTGTCACGAAATTAGTCTTTAATCTTTATTCAACTTAGCGAAAGGAAATGCATCAAACAAGTTATATTAATATAATATCTGTTTACTTACCGACAGCGATAGTACTATTTACTGCAGCTTTATTTATAGACCAATTATTTTTTGGGCTGTTTTTCGAAGAACTAATTTTTTTTTGAATACAGCACCTTTTACATTCATAAACAAAATCGAACATCGCGTACAAAATTCATATCTATAAAATTACAGCCAAATCCACCATCATGTTTAATATTTTGGATTTGGAAAAATATATGAGCCACATCAACAATCCTATAGGCCCATCTATTTCATTAGATATACTGTAATAGTGAAATTAAAATTAACTTATATACACCTATATATATATATATATATATACACGCTAAAATGTTATAACTTATGATTGGGTAGAAATAAACATACTTCAATAACGATTCATCAACTTTTATCTCATTGACACTTGCTAATTCATGCAATTCTATATTTTCATCGGTACAATATATAATGAGCTTATTCTAGTCATATCAATGTCACTTGTAAAAAAATCTTTTAGTAAAACAATTAAGAATATTATAAAAGTATATTAACACAATTATCTAAATTTTAAAGTACCTAGTATTAAAATACTTTCGAAAAGAATTGGTGTTGGACTCGACCGATGAAAGTAAAGTGAATCATATATTACAAGAAAATCATAATAAAATACCTATATTTTAGATTTTGAGTGGAACGATGAATGTATTGATTTTACAATGATGTGTGTTTTTTTTTTATTCTTTTTTTTTGTGTCTACATAAGAAGTAGTCGAAATAATGCTTCGAGTTCATCTTTTTCGATTGGAAAGTGAATATCGTTGGCGCATTGGGGAGGTCAAAATTTAAAATTCCCAGTAATTTTCAAAAGCGCCTTGAAAAACAAAAGAAAAATTAAGGAAAAATGGGAATTTTTACGCAAAATCGACATTGGTTTTTGGTGTAACTTTAAAACAAATGACCCTTGATACATGAAATTTTCACTGGTTGTTTATATTTACATTTTCTATACACAATAAAATTTTCAAAATATTATAATTTGTTTTGCACGGTTTAGGAACATTTTAATTTCCCATTTTTTTTAGTTATTTTTTCTAAAAGTATCTATAAAATTTTATTTGTAGGTTAAAAAAGCTTGAAAATTTAATAGAAGGCTCCTAGTATATTGTTTCAAAGGCAGATGAAAAATATTAAAAATCCTTAGTCACAGTTTTTTTTTATAAGGATTTAAAGTTCAAAAATTGACAAAATATGGAAAAATCACGAAAATTAGCAAATTATTTTGAGTTAACTATTCGTAAAAAATTTTCTTTTTAAATCTAAGATTTGAAAATGTAATACAAGATTACTCATAAGTTTGCCTACATTTATCAATAAAAAAAATCCCCACCAGAAAGTCAAATTAAATTTTTATGAGCGTTTAAAGTTCATAATTTTACAATATTGGATAATCACTCGATTTCTCATGTAGCGATTTTCTTATTTTGTTGTAATGCATTTCCTATTACATTTTCAGTCTTCAATTTTTTGTTTTCAGTTTTTTTTTCTATAAATAACAATTAAGATTTATCTGTTGTGTCAAAAAGTGTATAAATGCAATACAAGGCTCCTGATATATTGTTACAATAGCAGTTGAAAAATATCAAAAATGCATAGGCACAATTTTTTTTTATAAGCATTTAAAGATCTAGTTTTTACAATATTTATCAAATTTAAAATTCAATAATTATTTTGTAGTTAAACATTTTTAAAATGTTCAATTTTTATATCTAAAGATTGAAAATTTAAAATAAGATTTCTAGTAAGTAGTTAATTCTGTTACTAAAAAATCTAAAAAAATACATAATCACAGTTAATTTTTATAGTCATTTTGAGTTCATATTTGGACGAAATTACATAATAAAAAACCTAGAGTAGGCAGTAGGTAACTATTTTAGTTATTTGGTTGTGATTGTATTTTATCCTTGGGTACTTGAAACTTCTAAAGTACACTTTTATATATCTATGATAGTATCAAGGTTTGTTGTTGATGTATAACGCGTTATAAGTACCTAATGGATATTGTGATATGATTAATTTGGAATTTATTATAGGTACCTATTGGCTATTATAAGTCAATTTTTTTTTTAATACCTACCATAGACAAGTATATATAATATGTATTATACCTAGACTAGTAGACTGACATACTGTCTCCACTCAGAATCGTTTGTCTTATACAATGATATTATATCATTGAATTCAAATGTAATACCATCCATTGTACAGCGACCCACTTGCCCGCCTACTGTACAGCGACATCCACTTTCCTACCTTTTTTTACATCCAAAAAATTAAATGATTAGGAAAACACGAACTTACTTGTTCATTTTTTTGTAACGGCGAAGTGCAAGCAGTGCATTGCCAGTTAACCTTTTATTGCAGGTATTTATTTTTTATTGTTTTTTTTTACTACCCATAATTTAAAAAAACAACGGGGAACAAAAATAACATAAAAAAATTTTTTACACGTCTCACAAACAATGTATAATCACTAGTGACTATGGACTAGGAACGTATATTGTACGTTTAAGTAGTGAATTTGCACAATGCATGCTATTAGACGTGAAGACTGTTGTATGAATTATATTATGTTGTTCAAATGTTCAATATGACAATAATAATAGTATGTACCCAGTATTTATCAATATTATAATTTATAAATATACCAGAAACACAGCACATTATCGCTGTCACGGCGGCGGTGGTGCTATTTTTATAATTCAGTCTAGTCCACGGCTAGATACGTCTAATATAGCCGTGGTCTAGTCGGACCACAGATATATACAATAATATTATTGTATATATCCGTGAGTCGGACTAGTTGCATAGTAGAGTGGGGGGCGCGGCCGTCAGTACAACCACAGAACAACCTACGTCGGCAGACAACCGCCAGTAGCAGCACTTAACGGCCAACGGGAAGAATGAGAGTTTTACAGCGTATAAACATGCTCATTGCTCACTCGGATTTAAAATTTTTCGCTCCAGAATGATTTTTGGACAAACACACTTATTAACAAAATTAAAGATAATAATATTTTCGAGGGCCCCTTGTAGGTTTTTTTCTTTGTTCCAAATATTAAGCTCAGTACATCGTTTCAAAATAATGATTTTTTCAACATGTTAAAATGACAGTAACTTTTCAAAAAATTAATTTTTTGAAAAAAGGTTACGTGGGAACCTTGAGAATATTATAATCTTAAATTTTGTTAATAGGTGTTTTTGTCCTAAAACCACTTTGGAGTGCAAAATTTGGAATCTAAGCGAGTATGTTTTTGGTATTGAAAACACCGGTACTACGTCCTCTTAATCTATGGCATTAGCAACTATACACTCAACATAAAAAAAAAACCACTACACCCCTGTTGGTATTTTATAAAATAAATTTATTTAAAAATAAACTTGTACATATTATATTTTATTTATATTAAGGAATAAATTAAGGTTATTATGCAAGGATATTATTGTAACTTAAGAATCTGTGACTAAAAATAATTTAAATCTGTATGTGCTGAACATTAAGTTATTTGCTTCATCTGAACATTCTGACTGTGAAAATTGGCTAGGATACATAGTACCAAAAATACACTGTAAAAAAAAACAAAATATAACCTTTTCTATCTTTTAAGTATATGGGCTTAATATTATATTGTTATTACTTTAGTTGCGACCACAGCTCGTTTAACGTTTTTAACAATGTATTCGTCCAAAACATCTAAATTGATTGGATCAATTTGATTTTCAACTGCTGATATTTGCTCTGAACAGATGACCGATAAACTCTAAAAATGTAAACCGTTTTTATCAACGTATTATACGATCTTGAGATTTATATTATTAAGATTACTTGGTTTTCAATGCCAATAAAAAGTTGATTGATGTACTTGAGATCAAATAACTTTTGTAGCTGATGTCTAGATTTCAATGATGTTTCAAGTTCACTATTATTACTATATTCAATCAATATCCATTCAGTACACAAAGCAATGGTTTTCTCCTGAACAAATCTAAATTAAATAAAATTAAACAATAAAGAAATTCATGACAAATAAAACTAGTATTACTTTGGAGGTAATGTCAAAGCTAGACATCTGATCATATCGTGAATGAAGTTTTGCAATGGAAATGTGGGTTGATTTGGAACTTGTAGTTTTGACACAACTAATTCTCCACTTTCTTTCTCCACCTCTATATCCAAAATATCCCACTTCTAAAAACAAAAATAGAAACACAATTACTGATTTTTTAAATCTGTTTATTTATTATACCGGAATTGTGGATAGTTGTTCTCCAAGTGTAATTGGAAAAATATTTCCTTTTAAACCATCAAACATTCTTTTAGTCACTATTTCTATCCATTTGTTCCAAGCAACTATGGAGGAATTTTGCATTTCTTCTTTTGATAATGTCCAAAAATTAAACTAAACAAAATAATATTAACTGTATTTCAAAGTATTTATTAAGAAAGTAACAAATGAATAATGTTAAATGTACTAAGATATGACTACTTATTTAACATAATATGATTGAAAGAATAATTAGATAAAAAATATAGTTTACATTGTCCATCGCTAAAATTGATCAATCACGTCATGATGCCCTTTTAAAGAACGTACTGAAAATTCTCACTTTAACTCATGTACCTTGCTGTAAAAACCTTAATATATTTTATGTCTTCTAATGGGCTCATTGAATGCTCCTAAACCTTCTATTCAGAATAAATACCTGTGTTACTGCATACTTATTCAGGAACCATTCACTGTTTAATGTCCCCGCCCACTCTACTCCTATGCACATCATTATGTTAATAGTTAATTCTATGAATTTTAATTTCCTGGCTTTACTTGTTAGATTAACTTGATAACTTGGCTTATTTGTTAATTAGTTATTTTTCCCCGGTTTTGAATGTTTTATTTTATTGTATATTATGTATAATATTATTCTCATGAGTCATTACTAATACGTAAAAACTGCCTGTTTAGGCGTTAATAAACAAATAATAATAACTTTATAGAAATTAACAACATTTAAAAAATTATTTTATGTATAATAAAGAACATAATATGCAAGTATTTATTAGCTAATAATTAAATACAATTATTGAATTATCTTTGCTTCATAAAATATATCAGTTGGATATGGTATGATAGTTTAAAGTTTGAGCCCGAGTGTAAAAAAATGACTAAATGAATAAAGTGACCTTTCCCAATAAAACTTAACACATATATTAAGTGTTTACATAGTTCACGATTAGTTCAGTTTTTTATAAATTAAAGTTATTTTAAATCTGTTAAAATGTAGTAAACAAAATATAGCAAATTACCCCAAAAGCGATACTAAAACATTAACTTGATTAATTAAATTTATAAGTTCAAATAATTGTCTCTATACCTTAAAACTATTATTAAAGATTAAAAACTATTATTATAATTAATTAAAAATATTTTCTTAATATGTCTTACTTGTTGGTATAATGATACTAAACACTGTTTTAATGTTGTACATAATATTGGCAAGAACCATAAAAATCTAGCTATCAACAATATGCCAGGTTCAGTTAATGTGTCTTGTTCAACTAATTGTACCATACTCTTTCCCAACCTATAACGATTATAAGAAATATATGAATTATATTTTCTATTCTATCATTATTATACATAAGAAATGTAAGATTTAAATCTTAATAAAATACATTTCATTAACCTAATAATAAAATTGTTACAACAACTTCCTTGATGTTGTCTTAAAGCCCATGGATCTTCATCTTCAGAGTACAATTCACTTAACATATCTACCAACAATGAAATCCTTCTTTCAACACAAGCGCACAATGTAGCAGTTCTGTCTGAACAACCTATCGAACGGGTTTCAAAACATTCATCTGTATCAGAGAATAAACTATCTTGCAGGTAAGGTTCTTCTGGCCTAAAATAATACAGTGGTTAAAAGAATGCTTTTTTTTTTTTGTTTATGTCTTACTGTATTAATGCACTGTCAATATCTGAAATAATTAGAGGGAAAACATCTTCCCAATGATTGGTTAACAACTCTTTAGTTCTTTGAGCAAACAGCGGACAGTATAATTCAGACCACAAGTCAGACTCAAACAAAATTTGTTCAGATATAGCAGTCCAGTGTTGAGGGTATTCCTGATAAGTAAAAATTATATTAATAAATTCAATTTTTTTTTTCTCTTTCTCTTACGGTTGACAATTGATTTAAGTGACGAAGAGTTGAGAAAGATTGAACACTTTGCAGAATTTCTGTAACTTTAGTACAAACAAATGGTTTTGCCCAAACCAACCAATTAGTTACAATATTAGTTATGTATTCTTTTGATAATTCATTGGGGGATAGCATACAGTCAATCCTAAGTTAAATAAATAACAATTAATAGAAAACACCAGACGATTTGTCAGATTACATACTTGAATTCCTTAACAGTATTTGGTAAATATATAAGTCCAAATTTCAATGAATAATCCAAATCTACTAATGATAATACATTTGGTCCATTACTTAAAATGTTCTTAATTTGTAGATATATCATTCCACTATTATAAAGATCATAGTCTAAAGAAAATGTATTAATTGAACAAATTAATAAATATTTTGGCAAAATATTGAAGCATACAAAATTGTTTAGCCATTAATTGCATAGTTGTATCATTAGATTAAAATTGACAACATTAATAATATTAGAAAATACTTTGATAACCTTACTTGTAAAGCATAAATATAAATTGTAAATAGTATTTATAATTAAATTACAGCTGTTTTCAATATTTTTTTCAACTGAACTTCCTTCTGTTAACGAATGTTGCAACATGTTTGAACGTAATATAATAAATTCTTTAACTAAAGAATGAGCATCTAATTTTTCTAATATTGATAAACTTATAAAACAACATGCCGCTTTCTGTGTAATAAAATATAAGTTTAGTAAACACAATGGAAATAATAATTCATTATATTACTTCAGGTGTAATGTGACCAGACAATTCTAGTCTTGTTTTATCCGATATTGTAGTTTGGAAGTGAGATATTGTAGACCAAACCCTGTCCAAAAATGGTTTACCTTTTTTAAGCCCTTTAATTAAATCTTCATTCAAACCTAAAAATAAAAATATCACTTATAAGAAATTGACTCAAGTCTAAAACCTAAAAGCATATCGAATTATTATTAATTAACTATTATTTTTAATATTTAACGTACTATTTTATTTATACACTTAATAATAATCTGTTTACTTGTTTTAATACATGAAGCCAACTGAAACAATTGAGTAGCAGTTAAATAATTTCTCGAGTTTAAACAATCCCATATTTGTTCAGTTAAATCAATTAAAAGTTTTGACTGAGCAGCAAATTTATCAAGCAAATTGTCTTTACTAAAGAATATAAACATATTAAAAATAATTGTTTTAGCTTAAAGGTTTAAGCTAGGGATCAGCAATAGGCGGCCCGCGGAGGAGAAATAACTAAACCGCCAAAAATGTTTTTTCAATTTTGGTTTTCTGCACATAAAAGATATTTGATCTATTTTTATGATGTATTTTGGCTCTAAATACATCATTTGTGAAATTTTCTTTCTTTAAAATGACGTTTTTACAGAATAAATATCGAAAACACTGCAAATTAAAAAAAAACTAGCAAATAGAATATTATATTAAATATTTAGTTTTAAACAGCTTAAACTGTATTTTTAACACAAATATGAATACATTAATTATTAACTAATATTTAAGTTTTTCTGGCCCTCGCAAATTTTTATTCAAATTATCCGGACCGCCATAGAATTTAATTGCTGACCTCTGGTTTAAGCTGATAATTACCTATCTAAATTTGAATTAGTATTTATTTGGTTTGTTTTTAAAATATGTTCGGTAACATTTGTTATGTCACTAACTATTATCGCCATAGAACTAATTGTGTCAGCTGCATCAATGAGATCACGGTATTTTTCGCTATACATAAAAAATTGAATTAATAAAATATAAAGTATGCTTGCTCTTCTTAAAAATATTTAGGTACAAACCTTACTAATGATTTTAGCTGGTCTGCTTTTTTTTCCACATCTTTTTTTAAAGAACTTTGTAAAGATTCAATTTCAGTCAAGTTACATGTCTCAAACAAATCGTTGGCAAACTCGTTGGCATTTTTTGTTGGAAATGTTGAGTCCATTTTATTTACACCTAATTTGTCTCTTTAAGGCAATAAATAATAGATAAATTATAGGTATGTCATAAACAAATTATTGGTAGGTAGTCTTGAATGGATTTTATTTTGAATTAATTAAACTGATTGTTATTCAAACTTAAAAGATGACAACAAAATTGAAAATCCACTATAAATTTACTGAAAAACTGACCAACTGACAAGCAAGTAGCAACCGGGAAGCCAAGTTTCAAGTTCCAAGTGGCAAATTAAGTTGGTTTTTGATAAGACTTGTTTTCATGATAAGTGATAACACTGTTTATTCATTCCTTGTTTGTGTTATGTTGGATTGTTCTATACTTCTATGGTAGTATCTTTAGTAAATAATAGCTGCAGGCTGCAGGTATTTGCTATTTAGTGATTCTTATTTAATATGTTGTTATATTTCATTCTAGGTATAAATAATAATATATAAATATAAAACTTTATGATGAAATAGATAACCAATTATATATTCATTTACTAAAAACGCTAAAGTTTTGATTGTAAATCCTTACATCTTTTCTTAGATTAAATTTACTACTTTCAAGCCTAAAAATGGTTCTTGGGCCATTGGATCATTCTGTTCAAACAGATATTATATTTGTAATAGAGAAAACAGCCATGAACACTTATATTAGTGAACTTAAAACAAATTATGTGACTCCGACATTAGAGTAAGTTGTTATTGAATTTTCACTAAATCTAAATCATTAATTTTTACTATTGAAGTTAATTCGTTTAAAATACAATTTTCCTATACACGGTTTGAAATTTATCTTAGTTGAATGTACTCATTTTTATTTTGTATAGATATTTTAACCAAGGACCTATTGAAGAACGAGAGTATTTGTCTGAAGTAAGTATTATTTAAATATTTATTAGCATTACATATGATTAATATCATAAACCTATATTTATAAATATTACAGAGTAGCAGTGCAATTTATGGTATTGTAGTTTATGAAGCAAATGATTGTAAACCATATCCGTGTTGTCGTACCTATGGAACAATCACTAGCCCACAAAAAGTTATAAAAATGATTGAAAAGATAGAGTAAGACTTTATTCATGTTCTAATTGTATTTTATCATTGACTTTTTTATTTTTTTTTTTCAGTATGATTGGTGGTATGGCAGAATCCCATGCTTACATGGGTGAAGGTTTAGCAACAGCCCTGGTTTTCTTCGAGGACTTGCAAGGGATTCGTGAAGCTAAGCAAAGACATTGTATTCTCATATGTAATTCACCACCTTATAATTTTCCAATTATGGAATGTGAAAAATATGCTGGTCGTACTGTTGATCAAGTGGCAAATCTTTTTCAAGAAGTATTATATATTTTTTTAGTTAATCATCTTCAGAAGTATGTAATACTTAAGTTAAATATTTATGTTTATTTCTTAGAAAGGAATTTTACTCTCAATATTATCAGCTAGAAAAACTCCTGCATTATTAAAATTATTTGAAAAAGCTGGTGGTGATTTACAAATTTCTCAGAACAAAAACTATGCAAAAGATCCAAGGCATCTAGTTTTACTCAATGGATACAGGTGAATTTATTACATTAATTAATTCATAAATAGAAAGTTTTAATTTAATTATGAATGTTACAGAAGCAAAAAATCTAAAACTTAAGTTAATCTTGATTAAAGTATATTAAATCTAAGAAGATTGGTCAATAGGTGACAGTTTTATTTTCAATATTCAACAATATATAGGAAATTGAAATTAGCTATGTGACACCATCAGATTGCCACTGCACAACTTACATGATTTTATCTTTCACATGTTATTCACATAATAATTTATATTTTATACAGCTTAAAATAGTTTATTTTTTCAATTATGTGCCTATGCAAGAGTAAATTATAGATTAAAAATAGGACCTCAATTTTTTTAGTATTTAAAATACTAGCAGAGCAAATAATACAAAAAAAATTGCATATTTTACTTTGTCATCACAATCGCAAAAACTACTTTCTTATTTCCCTATAAAAATTCTGATAATATTACTATCCTAAGTTTAAAAAAAAATAATTGAATAATTTTCAAGCATTGTCTGAAACAAATAACTTTAACATATACCATAGTAAACTATATAGTAACCAGTGGTCCGGTGATATAACATATTTTTAAACCTTCATATCTCTATAAATAATAATTAGTAATACATTAGATTTTTAAATAAATATTAAGTTATTGCTAACATTTTAGTTATTATACATAATATAATATAATATATACATTTTCTTTTAATTTATTACAGTCTAAAAGAACGTCCAATGAGCCCAACTCCCGCTACAACTCATTCTGGTCTATCTATGACTAGTCCATTGTCTACAAATGTTAATATTGGATCACCAGTTGCTCCATGTGCTCCATTCAGGACTACTAATCCGGTAAGTAATCTAACTCCTTCAAATTTGATTATAAATAAACTGAATATTTTCATAAATAATTGTTTGTTTCAACGTATAAGATTTAAATTGAAACTACCTAATTAAAATTGTTGCATTCACTTATTTAAGTAAATTATTATTTAACCAATTAAATTAACAACAAACTTGGCTATGTACATTTAATACTATTTAATATGTTTCATATTTGGTATAATGGTACCTAATGAAGTTTTGTTTATTGATGGATGAAAAATATAAAACTTGAAAAATTTGTACTTTTACCCAAAAAAGTTGAATCACAGTCAATTACTATATTTATTGCTTTGATGTGAATCTAAAATAAAATAATTAAAATGTAAAAATTATTTTTTTGGTCAGGTTATGGCTATGCAAAATCAAGTTCAACAACAACAACAACAACAGCAACAACAACAACAACAACAGCAACAGCAACAACACCAACAGCAACAAGCTGCTCAGGCAGCCCAACAAGCTGTAGCTGTAGCTCAACAACAACAACAACAACAACAACAACAACAACAGCAACAAGTACAGCAGCAACAACAACAACAACAACAACAACAACAGCAGCAGCAGCAGCAGCAGCAAATGATTCGTAATGTAAATCAAGGTCAAAACCAGCCGTATTCAAATGTTTCAAATACTGGTGGTTTCTTGAGGCCTTCTCAAACACCTCGTAGTTGGCCAATGATGCAAAATCAACAGCGTCAACCAATTCAAGCAAGTGCATTAATTGCACAGTTAACAACTCCTACATTCCAACAAAGATTAGATAGTAAGTAATATTTTTAGATTATAAATATATTTATTTATTTATTTACGATGTGGGGGAATGGTGTGGTCAAGTGGAAGTAATATTAATTGCAAAAATTACTGAATAAAATCTAAAAGTTTAAACAAATTAAAAATTAATTGACACTATAGATTATCATTGATGATTTTATACACATTTAATTATTTATTTGAAAACAAATTCTAAAAGCTTAGAAAAAACTTAAAATTGTTATTTAAATCTTAATAAATACACTTTTAGTGGCATCACAACAACAAGTACAACAGCAGCAGCAGCAACAACAACAAGTTCAACAGCAGCAACAACAACAAGTTCAACAACAGCAACAACAAGTTAAGCAGCAGCAGCAAGTTCAACAACAACAACAACAGCAGCAGCAAGCTCAACAGCTGCAGCAAGCACAACAGCAGCAGCAAGCGCAACAGCAAGCACAACAGCAGCAAGTTCAACAGCAGCAAGCACAACAGCAGCAAGCTCAACAGCAGCAGCAAGCTCAACAACAGCACCAAGCACAACAGCAACATCAAGCACAACAACAACAACAGCAGCATCAGCAGCAGCAACAGCAACAAGCTGCTCTACGAATTATGAACCAACAGCAGCAACAAGTTCAACAACAACAGCAGCAACAAGTATTTTAGTTGATTGTAAAATAAATCAACAAACCATGTTTTATAAAATAAATCATAATTGTAGAATGGACCTGGCAGACAAACTATTTGGTCGGGAACATTAGAATGGATAGAAAAATCCAAGCCTTTAAATGAAATACCAAAGATAACGAGAAACGTCCCTTGTATTGTTTCAGCTAGTATCAAAAATGGAGAACCGGAACTGTAAAATTGCTTCTGCTAATGGAATATTTAAAAAAAAATGTATTAATTTTTTTTTTATATATTTAGGAAAGCAGAAACATGGCCTGATAAACTAATTATGCAATTGATGCCCAAGAATTTAATAGGAAGTATTGGAGGTGCTCATTTGAAAGACTCAAAATCTGTGGTTTTCCAACCTACACCGTGCGAAGCATTGGAGTCTTTGACCAAGTACATGACTAGTGGATATGTAAGTTCTTTAGTTCATGTAGAGTATCCTAATTGTTAATTTATAAAATTTAATTATTTATAGGCTGGCTGTGTACATTTCAACAGTGCTCCAACTTCTCATAATTGTGATGTCAAAGTATTGATTTTGCTTTATACACATGATAGAAAAGCATTTATTGGTTTTATTCCAAATGATCAAGCAGCATTTGTAGATAGATTACGCAAGCTTATACAACATCAAAAAGCTTCGTCAGCCATATTACGTCAAGGCCAGGTAAGATTTTTAACTAAATTTTCATATAATACATTATATTATATTGTTCCTATTATGCAGTATTAATTTTGGTCTACACCGTAAAAGAGTCATATAAAATTATATTATTGAAATGGTGTACTTGGAATTTTTAATGAAAATCATTCATTAAATATACATTCAACAATTAAATTTTGAAAAAAGTCGCTCTGCTGTACAGTAGGTTACAAGGGGATCACTGTATAATGGATGGTATTAATTTTGAATTCAATGATATAATATCATTTTATAAAAAAAATATTCTGAGCGGAGATTGTATATCAGTCTAGGTATAAGAAATATTATATACTTATCTATGATATTAAAATAAAAATTGTACCTATAATAAATTCCAAATTAGTCATATCACAATAGCCATTAGGTACTTATAACTTGTTATACATCAACAACAAACCATGATACTGTAATTGATATATAATAGTATACTTTAGAAGTTTCAATTACTCACGAATAATATTATACAATCATAACAAAATAACTAAAATAGTTATTTTAGGTTTTTAATATGTAATTTCGTCCAAATTTGAACTTAAAATGTCTCTAAAAATAAACTGTGCTTATGTATTTTTTACATTTTTTGGTAACAGAATAAACTACTTACGAGGAATCTTGTTTTAAATTTTAAATCCTTAGATATAAAAGTTGAACATTTCATACATTTTTAACTACAAAATAATTATTCAATTTTAAATTTGATAAATTTTGTAACAACTCGGTCTTAAAATGCTTATAAAAAAAAATTGTGCCTATGCATTTTTAATATTTTTCAACTGGTATTGTAACAATATATCAGGAGCATTGTATTAAATTTTTACACTTTTGGGCCCAACAGATAAAACTTTATTGATACTCACAGAAAAAAAAAAAAAAGTGTGTGTTTTTTCATTACGCGCGCGGGAAGTTAAACTTCTTTTGAATGGTACACGTGAGTGAGTGAAAAAGAAAGAAAGGCATGGATAGACTGGGTAATGAGGATAATAAAGAAATAAAAGAAACAATGTAAATTATATTTTTTATATATTTTTTTTTTAATTATTATTTTTTATGCTAATGATTGATTATCATTTTGCTCAATCGGTATAGTAGTTATGATTGGCATATGATGACTGAAATACGAAACGTACATTTGTGACTGAACATTATCCATATATCGCGTAAAAATTGCATCGATTGTTGTGCCTGATTTAGTAGTCGATATTGTTGGATCATTATTCAGTTGCAATAATATATAATATAATATATAAATTATAATATATAATTTAACAACACTACCGTCTACCATAGTACCATGACAATATTTATTTATTTACGGACATGTACGCTTTCGCGTTCGTACGGCCGCCCGTTCGTACGCGCCACCCATTCGCTTTTTTACTACCTTGCGTAAAGAAGTATAACTTCAATAAAAAAATTGAAATATGAAATTGTCCGTCAAACAAATCAAAATATTTTTAAAATTTTATCAAGTATAAGAATTGATAAAATAAACATTCGGTGAAATTTTAATGTATCTACAGTTATTCGTTTTCAAATTACAACAAAATAAGAAAATCGCTACATGAGAAATCGAGTGAATATCCAATGTTGCAAAAATTTGAATTTCAAACGCTCATTAAAGTTTAATTTGACTTTCTTATAGACATTTTTTTTTTTTTTTGATAAAGGTAGATAATCTTATAAGGAATCTTGTATTACATTTTAAAATCTTAGATTTAAAAAGAAAAATTTTTACGAATTCCTAACTCAAAATAATATGCTAATTTTCGTGATTTTTCCATATTTTGTCAATTTTTGAGCTTTAAATGATTATGAAAAGAAACTGTGACTAAAGATTTTTAATATTTTTTAAATGTCATTGTAACAATATAGTAGGAGCCTTATATTCAATTTTCAAGTATTTTTACTCAACAAATATAGTTTTACTGACATTCATAGAAAAAAAAACTAATAAAAGGGCAAACTGAAATGTCCCTAAACAGTTCCAAATAAATCAAAATATTTTGAAAATTTTATCATGTATAGAAAATTGAAATATAAACAACCGGTAAAAATTTCATGTATCTAGTATCTACTGTAATTTGTTTTAAAGTTACATCAAAAACCAAAGTCGATTTTACGTAATGGTCTCTAGTGGCATTATTTTATACTGTGCTGCTGTAAATTCTTTTGTGATAATTCGTATTCTTACAGTCGTAGTGACTTACTATTATAGTAACTTATAGTAACTTATAGTAATATAGTCACAAGTAATAACTGAACAAAAATTAAAAATTAAAAACTTTTTATATTTTATATTCACTATTAAGTATTATCTTCTCCAAATAAATAAATGCGCATTACTACGTTGCAACCAATTTAGAAATTTTTTTTTTTTTTGAGTGATTTTCGACTTGCTTTTGGTTGGATATACGTGAATGTTGTGTCATTCTCATAGTAACATAATAAGTAATTTTAAATAAAAAAAATTAATTTTTGTGATTAGTACATGGAAATAGTAAATGTTGGTTGTTTTCAAAGAAAAAATCTCACCACTAAAATGTTTATGACATAAGTATGACTGTACGAAACATTTCGGTTATAACCTTTCAAATTGTTAACAATATTTGTCTGCGATTTACGGATAGATTCATCCTTTGGCAATGAAAATAAAGTAGTATTTCCGTTATTACTTTTATTTAATGTACTGCCGCATATTATTAATACTGAACATAAGCGACGTATCTTAAATAATGTGAACTGTGAAGTATAATAATATAAAAATAAGATGCAACAGACTCATTATGGATATATATAGAAACAAAATTAAAATAATATTATTTAGGTTAATCGATTTATTTTTATTTATTTTTATATTTCATAAGAATTCTATATTATAATATAAATATTACGTTCATAAAAGTTAAATAGGTACGAAAATATCTAGTAAATCTAGTATGTCGCTAGGGTAGCATCACAGTCGCAAACGTACATACCCCACAGACATATATCTATGACATACCCATATGGTGGTATCCATAGACCTTTTACTCTGAGTAAAAGGTCTATGGTGGTATCTAAGATATATAAGGCAGAGCATATTTTAACATACAAAGTACGTGGCACTTGTGCCCCCCAGTGATATTTGAATGCTACCCAGTGGTGGGTGATTGTGCCACTGACCAACACATTCTCATAACGACCGATACCAATGTAAATTATTATGTACGTAATATATAGATATAAGGAACATAAAACCATTTTAAGCTCTCGATTTGTATAACTCTTGTGTATATTTTATTGAATGTAGAAGTGTAGAACACGTCACATTCACGCTATTATAACTTTGCCGGGATTGTTTATATTGATATAAAATACGAATATATCCATAATATATTCAATCTATAGATGTAGATGTAATATGAAAAGAAAACACGTAATTTTAACAGTGTCATCGATTTCTTCGGAAGTCATCGTCTTCATAAATTGAAAGCTGGTTGAGAATAACGTGCTACCTACATTTATGATTTTCTACTTATTTGTGTCCTGTGCTCCTGATTAATAATCACTCGACCGTACATTGTGCAGGAAAATTTTATATTACGTTTATACAATTATTTAGGAGTGTTCATAATTCATAGCACGGAAATACTTATACTCGTTTAATATTATGATTATAGATGGGACAGTGCGGTTCCCAGGTTTTGCGAGGCCCTGGGCATCATTAGAATTCGAGGCCCTGTATTTACAATATTATATCGAAATCAATAGGTACACTAGAATTTAGTGGTTCTCTATCTTTTTAAAGTTTTTATAGGTACCTAGTCGAGTACCACCTGCCCATTACGAAAATTTCAGAGTTCACGAATGAGAATCACTACCACCAGGAGAAATAATTGTAAACAAAATTATAGTTAAAAATAAATATAAGTGATAAAAATAATTTAAATATCAGAAAATATTTTATATTTAAAGGTTTCGTGTCATTAAATTAATTATATCAAGTCACAATAATAATAATAATAATATTAATATAATATAATATTATATATTTGTATTATATTATATGCCATGTTGTTATTATGGACATTCGTCGACGTCGTCATTTCGAGGAAAAAATAAATACCAACACTAAAATTAAACAAAAATAAAAACCAATTACATATTATATCGTTGACTTCTATGATCGTATTTACTATATAAACATTATTGATATTATCTGAGACATATTCAAATTTTAAAATGTTTGAAAATATTTTATTTACACGATATATTATTATATTATTGTATATTATTTATAAGCATAGGCCCTTGGAGGCTCGAGGAACTGGACGTGTGCCCCGTTTGCCCTGTCCTCGGCACGGCATTGATGATGGGAGCTCGGTAAATTTTACCGATCATTTTTTTACCGTTTTAAAGTTCGAGTGACCGCTCATTTCAATTGTTTTCATATGCACAACAACGCTATAGTGACATCCATATCTCCACAATGCATTGTATAAATATAACTAGTTATATTGCACATGCGATCTTCCAGCAAATAATTATTACCAAGACAATTTTGAACACCATCATCTCTGATTTACTTTTAACAATATTTTTAGCCCAATATAACTAATATAAGTTGGAGGTGCTAAGCACCCCCTGGCACCTCCATTTGTGCGACAAGGCATACTTATAAAATATATATAAATATAATACTTATATTAAGGAGTGGAAGCGTGGTATATTGGTTAAATGGTTAGCTTGGTTATAATTTATAAAAATGTTATTGAGTTCGTATTAAATTTACTAAATAAAAATAATATACAGTATTAAAAAATGTACGTATATTTAAATTCCCATCTCTAATTATGAAACCTACGCCGATTTACGGATGTACAACTTACACCAGTGGCGTAGAGTGAGTGTATGCAACAACTATTTCAGTAGGTAGGTATCTTATAATAGTATAATATTTTGTGGATTATCTTTATAGTCGATTGATTTTTATTTTTTATTAACTATATTAGTAGGCGATTGTCTACAGATACGACCATGTGGGTACAGACGTACAGTGACAATTAGGTATTTATATACTTTATCGATAATATCAATAACAAAACATAGAACGCTCGTAAACCTTCGAGGTCGTGTACTCGTCACTCGTATAAATCGTTTATTCTGCCACGTAGGTAGCTGTTTTATAATTGAAAAATCGGTTAATACGTAGATATAATATGTCTCAGTAGTCAGTAGGGTTCAGAAAATAAACCTATATTAAAATTGTTGAGATAAAAGAGTTTATTTCCCTTCTATGTTCCTCTGGTAGACAATTTTATTTAAGTGCCACCCAGTAAAAATTACTTAAAATATGCTCTGATATAAGGTATTAGTTCGTGGTGCCGTGGTGGTAACACAGATATATAAGTTATAACTATAGTTATAATAACTGTTATAACTTAGTAATATATCTGTGGGTGGTAAACTGGTAACCACTTTATTTAATAGGTCTATGGTAATCACGAACTACTACATAGGATTGGGCACTACTGGCAGGGGGAGGGTGGGACACCGGTCACAAAGTTGTAATAACATATTTAGTAAAGATGATAATACGTGATAACATCTTCTATAAATTATCGCAAAGATGTTGTAAAACTTTTAATACCAAAAACTACCAGATACTCATTAAAAAAACATGTATTACCGACTACCGTATACACATAGATATAATAATTATACAATATATATTTATGGTATTACCATAGACCTTATACTAATAGACGGAACATCCAGTGGGATGCAGGTGGGTGGTGCGGTTTTTCGTTACACTGATATGTATATATATATAATATTATATATCGTAGTATACAGAGTATTGTATTATCTAGTGTGCATGTGCGGTGTACGTTGTACTTGATCAGCGCCATCACGTTTGGACACCAGAACTACAACCACGTACCGTCTATAATTAGTATAATGCCTATGGGTATTACACGATTTAAGATAGTACCATATTAACAACGATTTGTTAACATATCTTTGGATTTACCACCATTTATCATGGTCGATAGATTCATGATCTATTCATAGATCCATTTATCATGGTCGATTATTACTTCGAAGCACGATTAAAGATATACAGGTTGCACATCGCCCTATAGTAAACCGCTTCCAGACTGATTTACAAAGTGACTATAAAAATCAGCTGTTAATAATTAACTAGTGGCGCTTAATGTCAACACTCAACCATATGTGTCGACATTTAGAACTAATTTTACACCTATATATCTATAATCGGTTAATTGTAATACTGCCGCTTGGAGCGCCACTGGTTAATTATTGGTAGTCATTTCGTATTTCACCTTATCAGTAGTCGATGTGCAACCTGTATATCTTTAATCGTGCTTCGAAGGGACTGTTATCTTCCTAGTTCGGACGCTCGATCATGTTGGTATTACCAAACTGTAAACTATTGTTTACATTCCCCAAATGTGTACACACTGATCACAAACGCCGATCTAAAATGTCTGTTGTGTATGCCGTGATGCCGTATAAACACGCGTCGTTTGCCGATTAATGTTCCGTTTTCATAAATTGTTCCCTCTGCATATTTAGTTTTTACGCAAACAATCACTTAATTCCTTACGTCCTCCAGTTGCGTTTAACGCTTGATTCATACACTATTCACCAGTACAATGGCAGATGCTGATGATCTTTTAGACTACGAAGAAGACGAACAGAACGAAACCGTCGAGAGCGATGACAAGAAACAAGCCAAGAAAGAAGTAAAGGGTAACTATGTTTCCATACACAGTTCAGGTTTCCGTGATTTCCTCTTGAAACCGGAAATACTGAGAGCAATCGTTGACTGCGGTTTCGAACATCCGTCTGAAGTGCAGCACGAGTGTATACCACAAGCCATGTTGGGCATGGATATTTTATGCCAAGCCAAGTCCGGTATGGGTAAAACTGCCGTGTTTGTCTTATCCACCTTACAGCAGTTGGAAGTGTACGAGAGCGAAGTGTACGCTCTGGTCTTGTGCCACACCAGAGAATTGGCTTTCCAGATAAGCAAAGAATTTGAGCGCTTCACTAAATACTTGCCAGCAGTCAAGGTCAGTGTTTTCTTTGGTGGTGTGCCCATCACAAAAGACGAAGATACGCTAAAGAACAACAAGCCACACGTAGTGGTAGGCACACCAGGTCGCATACTAGAACTGATTAGAAAAAAAAAATTGGTTCTTAATAATCTGAAGCATTTCATTTTGGATGAGTGTGATAAAATGTTAGAGATCTTACACATGCGAAGTGATGTCCAAGAAATATTTAAGAACACACCGTTTAACAAACAAGTAATGATGTTCAGTGCCACACTAAGCAAAGATATACGGCCTGTCTGTAAAAAGTTTATGCAACAACCATTGGAAGTATATGTTGATGATGATGCCAAACTATCATTACACGGCCTCCAGCAGTACTATGTCAAACTCACTGAAAAGGAAAAAAATAAGAAATTGTTTGATCTTCTAGATGAACTAGAATTCAATCAGGTAAAATTAAATTTCAATTAAGTACTATTTTACTATAGACGTAATGTGGTGTATATTATTTAACTTGAAAGTTTTTATAATTTATATTATATATATTAATTTTTTTTATTTTTTCATTCAGGTTATCATTTTTGTTAAGTCTGTTCAACGTTGCGTAGTTTTAACAGAGCTACTAAATGAACAAAATTTCCCATCTGTTGCCATGCATGGTGGTATGTCTCAGCAAGATCGATTAAAGTTCTACCAAGAGTTCAAAGATTTTCAAAAACGAATATTAGTGGCTACCAATTTGTTTGGTCGAGGAATGGATATTGAACGAGTGAACATTGTTATAAACTATGACATGCCTGAAGACACAGACACTTATCTACATAGAGTGGCAAGAGCAGGACGTTTTGGTACCAAAGGCTTAGCAATTACATTCATTTGTGAAGAAACTGATGCAAAAGTTTTGAATAGTGTTCAAGATAGGTTTGATGTCACCATTGGTCGAATGCCTAATGAAATTGAGCTCAGTTCTTACGTTGAGAGAAAATAATTTTTATATCTAATATTTTATGAAATTTTACAAAACAATGATAATATGATAGCTTGACTTATGATTTTCAAGTTTTGCAAGACATATTCTTTCATTCAAAAGTGTATTACTCTCTTAAGTGGTTTACTTCACCTCTGAGTAATCATTTTAAATATAAACTGTGGAAACATTTTGTCAATTTTTTTTTTGCATTTGTGTATTGTGTATGGTTTAATATTTAGGGACATTAGATATTATCTTCAAAATATGATTAGAAGTTAAGATTGTACATAATAATGCAACTGACTTAATTATTAAACTAATTTGCAAATTGTATTGATATGTAGTTTTTTAAATTTTCCAATAAATCTAGACAAAAATTTAGAGAAAAAAAATTCTTTTTTTAATTTAATGTGTTCTTCAATGATCACCTAAAGTATTACTAATAAATTATCATAATTTAATTTTTTATAAATGCCAAATTGATTTCTACATGTAACAATTGTGTTGAATTTTGTTCTACTAGTTTAGTTTGATTGATTAAATTGAAATTCTTAAAAGTTAATTTTGTCCCATCATTCAAGTTTTTCTATATTATTATTAAAATTTATAACCATTCAACCATAGTGTTAATTTTTTTTTTAAATTTTAATCCGTGTATTAATATAAGTGAAATAATTTTTTTTATAAAAGAAATGTATCCACTTCAATTTTTCCCTAATAATTTTAACTATGTGTTACATATTTCAACTTGTGGGTCCATGTTGAATATTTCAAAGTATCACATGGCTATAATTTAAATGTTTAATATTTTTACTTTTTAGCACTTCTTCCATATTGTTGGATTTTTTTTTTATATTTAATTTAACTTAAATGAAAATACATTCATATTTAATCAATGCGTAAAATACAATAAATTATAATGAATTTTAACCACCAAAAAATTGTATACATTATTTGTGTATCTATTCCCTTATCACAGTTACTAGCTTCTCATCCTAAATATATTATTGATTTGATAGAAATAAATTCCAAATGGTTTTCATAAATTGTACGTTAAATTGATTTTTAGATATTTGAAAATTATTTGATGTGTGTACCAAGAACGATTGAAAGTAAAAGACTTAATTGTTTAAAAAAAAAGAGGACGCCATATTTTATTAATAAAATACAAATATCTATTCAAATCAACTTCCTGAACTAAAATGAGTCCAGTTTAACTGTTAATAAATTATGACATTTCCTAAATAATAATCTGTAATTATTATTTATTTATATTGACCATATTATTTAGTTAATATATATTTTATTAACAAAATACAAATATCTATTCAAATCAACTTCCTAAACTAAAATGAGTCCAGTTTAACTGTTAAAAAAATTATGACATTTCCTAAATAATAATCTGTAATTATTATTTATTTTTATTGACCATATTATTTAGTTAATATACACATTAACTAAATAATCTAAAATCTAAGTATGATTATATGTCTTAGTTAATACTTATTTATTTAGATAGATAAATAAATGTTATATGAAAATAAATATTTTTAACATGAATTTTTATTTTATTTTAATTTGTACTTAAATAAAAAAAGGTGAATCTTAAAGTTGTTGAGATGAGGATGGTGTAGACTGTAGAGTGTATAATATTAAGTTGCTACTTACTAGAAATGATGATAATTGAATTGATAATTCGGAAAACTAGGAATCAATGTTTTTGTTGGGTACTAAAACAAGTTTGGTTCGTATATTTTGAATTGCAAACCCCAAGTAAGGTAAAAAAGGATAATTTTAAGTTAATTTAAAAAATATGCAGTGCTCGGAACATTCACTAAAAAATTGATTTTGTTCACTTTTATGTTTTTTACCAAATGAACAGGTTCGCATTCTTTTGAAATATAAAGAATGAAATATGAATTTTTTTTTTTATAAATCTTTAAATACCTATAACCTATACAAAATCTTGAAAGTTATAATATCATTGTTGTATGTCAAGCCAGCCATAGGTGCAATTTGGTGGGTGCTTTGTATTGGAGGGGGGGCTTAGCTCCCCAAATATTTATCTATCCTCCACATAATAGGTATAGAAACAAATTAAAAAGTAAGTCTTAATTTGTATCTGTACCCATTATATTTAATATCATCAATATCAGCATTTTCTTTAATTTTAACCACGATTATAAAGAACTTTATAAAGTTCTTTATAATCATGATCAGATTTTAACCCAACAATTTTTGGCAACAAGCCATTTTTCTTATCACAAATTCATAACGAATGATTGGTGAAATAATTTTTTTTTTAAATGTTGACGAATTTGATATTTTTTAAATTTGAAGTATTGGTCTATTATTTCAAATAAAAAAAACCTCAAATTCGTTCACATTTGTTTTTTAAAAATTATTTCATCTACTCATTCTGAATTATGCTTTTTGGTGAAAGGAAAATAGGTTGTTGCCAAAAATTGCCTGATTAAAATTAAAGAAAATATTGATATTGATGATATTAAACAAATAGTTAGGTACTGAAGATGTGTACGCAAATTTAAATAAATTGTTAAAAGTAGTTTTCACTATACCTGTTAGTTGCGCAACCTGCAAATGTTCTCTTTCTTCAATGTGGTGATTAACAGCTTGTCAGAGAACAGCAATGAGGCAAGAACGATTTAAAAATTTAATTATATTGAATATCGAAAGAGATATAACTATAATAGTCTTGACTCTTGACACATAAAGAATTATTGATATATTTTTAGCAACTAATAGAAAATCAGTATTAATTTTATATTATTTTTTTATGTACATTTTGGTATTTGAGTAAAAGTGTTGAGGTATATAATTAATTATAATTTTAATTTAATTTTTAATTCACTACTTAGTTTTATATAAATTTATTTGTCTATTGTTAGTAGCCAGCCAGTATATTAGTTAGGTATGCTGTTAATAAAATTCTAGCCCCCCCCCCCCCAAAAAAAAAAAAAAAATTACCCTAGTTGAGCCTTTGGGGCTAGCTCACTATAATTTCACGTATTTTATTTTTATAATTCATAATCAAATAAATATTACGAATATTATAAAAGAAAAATGATATTATAAATATTATATTAAATAATATTATTAATCAATTCATTGAAAATTAAAATGTCGTTCACGTTCTAGTTGTAAATTAAGTTGATTATAATGTTAAAAATAATTTTTGTTTAACTAATTAATTATTCTTATTTATTTTTATAAATCAACAAGTAAACACCATTTTTAGTTAATATAATGAAAAATAACATAATATAAATTTCAAAGTAAAATTTATACTATAATAATTATTATTTTATAAATTATAGTGACTTTTCTTTGATTAATAAATTCATAAATTGGAATTTTTTGTATACCTTATATGCAGGGCTCGAATTTTATAGCACTTAAAAGAACTGAAATCTGTGCTATAATATGACCTAATAAAACTTAAAAAATAAACATTATGAGATGCCATAAAAACATGAAAAATAGCAAAAAAGAAAATTTTTTAAAAAATTTCTTCTGTTAACAATTTTAAGAAACTTATATTTATTGAATAATTGTTAAATAAAACTACTGGAAAAATATATAAATACAACTAATAAGGAGTTATAATTGGATATACTATTTGACGGGCCAATGCCCAATACCCCGGGCTACCTACTAATATAAAATATGGATCTTATGGATTTCACATAAATGGTAAATTGTTTCAACTTACAAAATAAATCATTATATTATGCATATTAGCAAAAAATAGAATCAAAACTTGAAAAAATAGCACTAAAAAATCTAAAATACTTCAAAAATGCAAAAAAAATAGCAATATAAATTTCATATGTGTAGTCCTTGGTGGATTAAACAAATGTATAGTTCATTTTCCTATATTTATCTGCACCACATAATAATTAGCAAATGCTGTAAAACCCAAACCCTGATAATATGTATTGTATAGTACATTTATTTGCAATTTCTATTTATTTTATGAAATATGTAAAAGCATTTATATAATACATAAATGTATTATGGTCGTCCAGTAAATTCTCCATTGATATAGGACCTATATGTAACTAAACCATAATTTATGCCCATTTAATTTTAACATGCACATATTAGTTATTAATTTATTAACTAGAATATGCATTTACTTTTAAAATTTATAGATTTTAACTAAAAATATTTTAAATTGCAAATTTACAGCTGTTAGTCTGAATAATGCTATTTAACGCATTAGTATCAAGTACCTATTATAGTTTTATGTTAAACTTAGTTTCATGTACTATAATTTTCTATAAAAAATTTAATGTTTATGTATAAAAAAACCAACTATATTTTTTTTTAAATTACTAATTTTCATTATTTGTTTCTAGGGTGGAATGGGAATGCCTCAAGGCAATATGCCCGGACAGTTGCAATTACCACCCGGTCCGAATATGCCTGGTGGTCCTGGACCAAACCAGATGCCTGGGCTTATGCCTAACAGCGCATTAACAGCTTCTTTACAAAGTCAACCTCAACCAAATTTGGGTTAGTAATTACATTAATTACAATAAAAATGCAATTACAATTGGTTTGAGTAATAATTTTTATTTGTCACACCAGCTGAATTAATGGGGTCCAACAATTTTGTACCACAAAGTAATCAGGTAGTCCCTAATAGTCCATCAGTTCAAATGATGCCTAGTCCTCAACCAACTGGACAACCCGTCAATGTTAATAATCCAAACATGCCTTTACAGGTAAAATAATTTTAAAATGATACTTATTTGTATTTCTTTATGTTTGATAATAACTTTATTTAATAGAGTCCTGGAGGCGTTGGAAATGTTGGTGTTCGTCCATCACAAGGCCAATACAGTGAACAAATTGAGATGGCTAGAAAGCAAAATTTAGCCAAGATTCAGCAACTTCGTCAGACACTAGAATTAGCACAACAACAAGAATTACAGTATAAGTCTCAAATGGAGGTACTTAAATTGTTTTGAACTTTTTTTATTCTAATGTCTTATTACTACTAATATATTAATTGTAGATACAAAGTAATCAAATGAACATACCACAAATGCAGCAATGTTTGGAACAAGCCCAAATGCAAGAAAACATATTGAAGTCTCAGCTAGAAGTACGATAAGTATATTATTTTTTATATGTTAGAAATATTTAAATAGAATTATATGGTATAGATACGTAATCAAATGAATGTGCCCCAAATGCAACAAAATCTGGAACATGCTCAAATGCAAGAGACCATATTAAAAGCACAGTTGGAAGTGAGTAAACATTTTCAATGTGTTGGTCTATTTGTTATGTTATTGTTTAAGGAGCATTTGAATGAGATAGTTTTACTATGTATTTTGGTGGATTTATTTATAAATTATTGGTAATTTTATGTCTAGCATCAACAAGAAGAACAACACAAATTGCGAACCCAGCAATTCCATATCCATCAACAGCAACAGCAACAACAACAGCAGCAACAACAGCAACAGCAATCAAGACAAATGGTTCCTGGAAATCAATCACCACAGATTATGGGTAATAGTGCACCACAGCAGAGAATGCAAATGCGACCCGTTATGTCCAGTAATCCTGGTCTCAGACATTTATTACAACAAGTTTGTTTATGTTTTTAAGCACATCATATTGAATTTGTTCAATTATTTTTTTTTTAAAATTAATTCCTTATTTTAAAATTTTTTTAGCAACCACAATATAGACAACAAATGATGGGCATGCAACAGGTTCCCGTTGCTCAAGGCAGACCCTTGCAACCTCAACAACAGCAACAACAATATAATGATGAAGTTCATGCATTTGACTTTCTTAACTAACTCAATTTTAAAATATTAATCTTGTTGGTTTATTTTGTTGAAATCATCTCATTTTTTTTTTTTTTTTTGAATAATTGAGTAAAGCTAATAAAAATGTTTAACATTTTATAAATTACTTCATTTTTTTTTACCAAAAGATTATTGATTATTGATGAACAATTTTAGAATTCCTGTTTATATAAATTATATTTATTATTTTATTATTTGTAAATAATTTCATCAATTTTTTAAGCACCTAAAATAAAAAAAAAACTTATTTTTTCTCATATATTTTAGCCTATTTTAATATTTTAAAATAATACGTTTTGCATTTATGTATTTATTTTAAATTAACTGGAAATATTATTATTTCTATATGCTAATTTTAATAAGTATATACAAATATGTATTTATCAACAATACAATGTAGTATTTATTAGCCTCTGCTCCACTTTATTACTCTAATACCAATAGTTACATAGGCGGACGGCATACTCACAAATAGCGTTTGAGATTTGCCATTTGGGGGGCTAAAGCACTAGGTACTTAAATAATATTGAATAAACTTAAAACAAAATATGTGTTTTATATGTATGAAATGTATGTGTTTTTTTGTGTCTAATGTTGGTTGTGTATTTTTGGTTGGGGGCTTCAGATACTATTGTATTTTTTGTGTGTTGGTATATGTTTCAATCTTCTGGTGTCCAAATGAATTGGATAATCTTGTTTTGATTTTTTAAATTTTTGAATTGATTTATGATGTTGGCATGGACGTGCTCAAAGGGTGGGTGGTTAGGGGGTTCAATCCCCCTCCCCCTATGCACAATTTCCGAATATAATATATATACTTAAATATAATAATTATAATTTATTGGGAACAAATCTAGCTTAGCACCCACTCGATACAACGAGTCAATAAGAACGATGTTGTAAAAATGAATCGTCGAAAATCATTAGTTTTTAAGTTATAGCCTTACAAAGTTACACGATTTTCGGTGTCTTACGCATTTGTCGTACAACTAAATATTTTACCGCGCGTTTGGAACTTCTATTTTACTGAACAACCTTTTTTTTTTAAATTTTTTTTGTTTCAAAGTATCTATGTAGTTAAGCATGGTTAAAAGGATGGGGATGTCTAAATTTGGAGGACAGACTTATTTTAAAGCTATAGGTTTATAGCTAATTAAAATTTTTGAAATTTTCAAATAGGCACACCTAGCGTGGTCACTGCCTCGTGCAATTAAAATCGAAAAAATCCCTCGACTTGTTATGTAAAACCACCATGTATAGGTGTCAGAATTAATGCTAGCCCTATCAAGGTTGATGCCCAACATCAGCGGTCCTTGCCAATGGAAGTGGAGACTGCTAGGCTCGGTCGTAGAGAGCCAACTCCTGTACGCTGCACCTGTCTGGTCAGCTGCGGTAAGCTTCCCGGCTAAAGTCAAAACCATCATGAGGAGACCACATAGAGCTGCCGCATTGCTGAGGAAAGGGTATCATTCCCCCGTGCGAGCCCAATCTAAAGATGTAAACATTTTGCTTATAAATAAACGATGCTACATGAGGGTCAAGCAATGTGCAAACAGTACGGCCCTCATGTAGTGGTTATGCATGGAATAAAAAAAAAAAGGTGTCAGAATTAATATTGCACCATCATTTTTAAAACGTTGATTTACCTAGGTTTCAAAAAAAAAAATTGAAAATTCGTTATCACAAAACGCACCTAAAATCATATGAATGACAATTGTATCGTATGGTTATACAGTGGCGGCGCCAGGGTGGGCCCGGGCCCACCTTAAAAAGTCTCCGGCCCCCCCTGTGGCCCACCCCAAAAATTAAATTTAATCATATTAGAATACTAAAAAATATCTCATGAATAAATCATGATTTATTAAAATATGAAAATATTAAGTCATAATAGATGGCGTGAACAACATTTTGAATGGGTTGAAAACTATATGCACTATGCACTATGCTTTCAAGCCTCATAAATAACGTGTATTTTCCAGCGGCTGAATACGAAAATAATAAATTATTATTAAATATTCATTGGTATTGAGTATAATTATGGGTTAGGGAGCATACAAATCAATAAGTGTTTACATGAATATATATTTTGTTAGCAAATAAATACTATTAATACAATACATGTTTACAAATCATTGTTTGTCAACAATTTGGCCCTCTCTAAAAAATTTGGGCCCCAGCCTGGCCCACCTGGTATTAAAGTTCTGGCGCCGCCACTGTGGTTATACCATAAAAACTAATGATTTCCGCCAATTAATTTCTGCACCATTGTTCTTAACTGGTTGTAATAATACAAAGGTGACTGAAAAAAAATTTTAAAATTCGGGTGGGTGGTAAACTATATTTATAACGCTAAATTTAACAAATATCTTGTTTGAAACAAATTTCTGATGATATAAAATAATGTCGTCCTAAAAAAATAATTTTTGCAATCGTAGAATAGGTTTTTGAAAATTTCTGGAGCAGTTTCTTTTTTTTTGTTTGCTACAAGTTCTGTGTCTAATTAGTGACTATATTTATTAGTCTTGCGGCGAAGTATAAAGCCATTTGTATAGTTTGGATCCTGACAGTGGTTCCCTAACGCTATAGATTATGCTTTCGCACGGTCTGGATTTAAAGGAGGCGATGACTAGTCGTAAACAGGTGTTATGTATTGGGTCAATCGTCAATCCATTATTGTTTTTAAAGCTCCGTTTTTGGCTCAGAGGTATATTTCACTGCGCCGTATTCCAATTTTGACCTGATAAGTTCTTTAGGTAATTTATTGTTTAAGTAGGTGCCTAGTTACTAAATTATTGTATTAGCTATTTAGCTGTTCGTTTTTTGTGAACTTCATGTTGTGTGAGCTAGTATTTTTATGATGTTTCTTCTTTGAGATGTTCATTTTTTAATGCGTTTTAGATGTGGTACCCATGATTTGTGTCGAATGTAATTTTGATTGTGTCTTTGTTTGGTATTGAGTATTGACGTATTGTTCAATTGTTACTTGTTAGCTCGTTTATTTTGAAAATGGGTGGTTTTTCAGTATTACATTTCGTTTTTTTTTTGTAAAACAGATTTATTTGTTGAAAACTTGAAGCTTGAATTAAGATATAATTATATTTTCTTGTAGGAGATTTTGTATTGTGTTTGTTGTTTATACTTCTGTAGTTCTGTATATTTAAGTCGTCTTCAAAGAGTGTATTTTATGGGTTCAGTGATGGTGTTGGATACATCGTTAATATAGCTACTAAAAATAATGTTGTGGATAGGCTTGATTGCTTGATCCTTGTGATTGTGGGATTCCATTTTTTGGAAAAAGTGTCTTGGAAGTCGTATTGCCTATTTTTACTTGGAAATTGGAATGATTTGGTTTGTAAAAAATAAAATCGTGTTTTATAACAACTTTTAACATAGAATAAATTTTATTTCTAATATTTTTATATTCAGTTTAGCCAGTTTAGGCGATATTGTTAGGTATTAGGTATATAATTTATAAAATAATTATTTTAATTTAAAGTGCCCGTCAATCCCCCCACTCACAAGTATAATGTTAATGTGGATTTTTTTCCAACTTACCAGACCGAGTTATCTAACCATTGTGCTACGATATTCAATACCTACTTCAGTTCGCTATAAAAATTATAGTATAATTTCGAAACTAAGTCCAACCAAAAAATGCTGTAGGAACCTTAATTTTTTTCATCAAAAACTACAATTGAATAAATAAAAAAAAAATTAAAAATGTCATGGGAGCTATACCCTGTTCAAAATAAGAAGCGACCTGATTTACGCTTGAAAACCGGTTTTACTAGTGGCCGCCTGAATCGCTTCTTAAAATGAACAGACTATAAAAAAGAATTATACTGAATTTTGTATTCTTCAGTTTTCGAATGTCCTATTATATTTTTTTATAGAATCCATACGAGATACTAGTAGAATTTTTGTATGACGTGTGTTTTAAATATTTGTACTTTGCAACCAACTGTATTGTCTCAGCAAATAGTATCAACACTGGCCAAATGTAAATACTTTGTAGTATTAACTGCTTAAAAAAGAATTTATGTAGTATAGTTTAAGTTGCCTAATATTTCACATTCGAGAAGGTTCTAATTTTTAAATTCCTATAAAGTATAAATCAGAATTATAAATGTGTGTCGATTTATATGTCTATGGTAGCCATTGGTAGGTATAAACTATCACGTTAATACGTAATGATAATATTATGATACTGCTCTCTGATTCTGTGATAGTTTATATATAAAACCAATGTATAATTATTGTTAATTTATATTTAATACACACCTTGGATGAAATATTTGTGAATATGTTGGACTAGTATTTATAATTATAAACTATAACAATAATATTATGATAGTTTTATTATTGTACCTAATATTATTACGGTAATACATTAATACAGTTGTAAATAATACTAATTACTAAATAGTAAATTGTAAATGGTTACGTTTATGAAGACTATATAGAATATATTATATTATATATTAATACTATATTATATTCCAGTACTAGGTAACATTAACATTAGGATATTTTATGCTTGAGGATGTAGAAATTTTAAATTTTAATGTTGTTTTGTAAATAATGGTTGAATTTTTGGATCTTAAGATGATAACGATAATAATAATCATATTGATAACGTTCTTATTATTGTTATTTGTTATTGACTATAGTGAGTACAACAGAACTTGCGCTCTCTCGGCGCTCAGATACCCACAACTTACTGGAAAGTGGCTACAAACTACAAAGTTGTAGTAAGTACTATAACTATACCTATTAAGTAGTTTAAATGTAAGTGATCACTCAATTTTAAGTATTGCGAGAATATTATGTTGTTAATAGTAAGGTGGAAATATTATTCCAAAGAACGTTTTTAGATATCAATCGTTCGCTGGCCTCAAGTACTATCTGTGATTTTACTTTCAAATGAGTTAATGCGTTTCTGGCGTTCCGTTTTAGTAGATTATAAACTGTAGACGGTCCGTCTGTATATAGGCATGGCTGGCAAGTCGACGGAACCTGAATCGCCGAAGAAGAATGAAAAGTTTGAAAAATTTTATACGGAAGTGAGTTGATGGACATGGTTTGTGATTACGCTTTGCCTTTTTTTATACCATTGCTTCATTGACAGGTAAAAGAAATCGAAAAACGTGACTCTGTGTTGACGTCTAAACAACAGATTGAAAGGCTTCTGCGCCCTGGAGCCTCATATTTCAACCTTAATCCATATGAAGTACTTCAGCTAGACCATGATACACCTTTGGATGAGGCAAAGAAGAAATATAAAAGAGCGAGTTTTATTTAATTTAAAATTTTTCATAAATAATTTTTGTATTATAACAACATTTTGATTACTAACAATTATTTTAGTTGTCTATTTTGGTGCATCCAGACAAGAACCAAGATGATTTAGAAAGAGCTAACAATGCTTTTGAGACTGTTAACCGCGCATGGAGGACAATCGATAATGATGAATCACGGAAAAAATGTCAGGAGATCATACAGGAAGCCAAGGATATGACTGAATTCATGGTTGTAGAGAAACGTAAAAAATTGAAAAAAGAAGGCAAAGATACAAAAGTTGAAGAAGACGACCCATCTATTATGAAGCGTAGTATTTATGTTCAAACATGTAAATTATTTGCTGATCTAGAACGCAAAAGAAAAGATCATGAAGCTAGAGAATTACAAGAAAGAAAACGAAAACGGGAACAAGAAATAGATGAAGAACAAAAAGCAACTGTATCAAAAGAATGGCAAAAAAATTTTGATGTGAGTTTAGTTATTGATTATTATTTTGTATATAAGTAGTAAACATATTCGACTAATAATGGATAGAATTCATATTTAATCTTAATAATTGTACTACAAATAATAATTGTACTTGTACTACAAAAAAAGCTTCGAATTATTAAATTAATTTCTGATATAGATGAGTGGTTCTCAACTCATAGTAGGCACAGACCATTTTTGTAAATTTTTCACTGCCAAGGACCACAATTCAAATTTTACCCATTCCCACTATACTTCTAGTCTATATAATTTGTTTAACATATTTTAACTTTTTAATGACTATATAATTTATAAAACAAAAAGGTGATAGATATTCAAAATTTTGGTACTAATATAAATAAATCGTACATAAATTGTTATCACGATCACTGTATATTAGGCTGCTAACCATTAACGATTAATGTACAGTTAAAAAATTACCTACTCTAAACCGTAAATACAGTGAGATACAATTTCACTCATTTTTTTATTCTTTAATTTTTGAATTAAACATTTGATAGTCATGGCAAACATTTTTGGCATCACTGACCACTTGATATGAGTACAAATCTATATCATAGATTAAACAACATTTTTTACTTATAAATGGGGCTTAACTTAAAATATTTATTTAAATTTTAGTTCTTGGTGGTTCACTTTAATTTAATTTAATAATATTAATGTTTAATAATTGAATAAATCAAATATAAATGTAATTATTAATCTTATTCAAAACACATATTATCTACTTAACAATGCATTTAATCTAAAAAGTCCAATATATTTACCATCTTTATTTATTTCATTTTCAGACACTTTATTACAAAAGTTACAGAATTTTATTATTAGGTTATTATTTGTCTTTATATAATGCAGAATACACGGTTCTTTAATTAAAAAATTGTGTATAAATATAGGAGTCAAGAGAAAGCCGAGTAAACAGTTGGAAAGCATTTCAGGAATCAACCAAAAAATCAAGCAAAAAAATCAAAATTTTTAAGCCACCTAAACATAAAGCAGAATCAAGATAAAAAGTTTAGGTATGTAATATATAAATAATATTGTAATATTTAAAATTTTTAAATTATATTTTTTATTGTTTTATTTTCAGTAACATTATAGGCTCCATGTTTTTCAGTTGTATACATAAATGTGTATCACGTTTTAAAATAAAATAAAAGTTTTTTCATAAAACTCTTTATTCTTATTAATTCTTTTTACATGCATAAAAATAAAATAAATATTTTTTTTTTCTAAAAATCAATTTATGCAATGTTAGAAAATAATATTTTATTATTTTCCTGTATTATAATAAATAGTTTAAAAAAAGATCAGACTGCTTTTAAGAAATAAATATCTGTTAATATAGTTCTTATCTTATAACAATTTCTGTGTACATAAAAAAAAAAAATGTTTTTATTAACTATATAGTATTTAGGTAACAATTATAATGTAATGAGTTTTATTTTATAAACTAATTGATATTTAAAGTATAAATATAACATATTTATTTTTTTAACTTAATATAAATAATCATTCAGCATAGTTCAAAATTAAATACTTAATTTTCAGACTAACTGAAATACTTATCAATGACACAATTTGTTATTTGTACTTCATCTTCAATATAATATGTTATACATTAACTTTAAATATATTAATCAAATGTTTTTTTGATTGAGATTCAAATTATTGTTGTCATAGTTTATCAAAATACACATAATTTTAAAAAAGAAATGATAAATGAAATTTGTCTTACAATATTAATATTATTATTTATTATCATCACAATATTTTAATATTAAAAATTAAGTCTTTATTGATTAAGTTTTCAATTGGTTTCTTCTGTATCTTGATCATCATTATCACCAAGGAAATCTTTTGAGCTGACTTCTTCATCATCAAGTGGGAAACCTATTCCGTTTTCGTTAATTTCATTTTCAGAAGTCGAAGGTGCTAATGTGAGTGGAAATTTGGGTTTGCGACACACAAAATATACGCTTTTGTACTCGTACTGTAGCATAGACTGTGGATTTTGTGCATACTTGGTGGGCACATTTAAAATTTCTTTCTATAAAAACATGAAATTATTTCAATAACTTCTATGATTTGAGTTAGATCCAAACTTACTTCAAACCGAAAACCAATCCCTTTAATCACTTCTTTAATAACTTGGTAACTTGGTTCAATAGAATTTTGATCAAACACGTTACTATAATGATACAATAATGGCCCTAAATTGACCCATATGCCACCAGGCTTAAGTATTTTATAAATAGTTTCAATAAATGCAACTATATTGTTGGCACAATCAATAAAAAAACACGTGGCAATACAATTCCATTCGTCTTTATCTGTGTACACCTATAATTATTTGAATAAAGTAAATGTTGTCTTAACACATTATAATCGAAAACCCATATATTATGTACTTGTAAAAAGTCACCAGCAGCCATTGATATATGTGCATTCTGTGGTAACTCTTTTGCTGGATTGATATCAGGAAATGAGATACATTGCATTTGGTGTTCAGTTTCTAAATTGTTATCACACTGATGAATCCACGGATAAAGAACATACATATTAACACCTCGACATCTACAAATTATAAAGTTATAAAAATAAAAAAAAATAAAAACATAAAAATTGTAAGAAAATAATGCCTTACCGGTTTAATACAAAATTTGATGCTATTAACATGAACACAGAAAACTCATTTCCTTGACTTGTGTAACCCAATTTGGCAATTTCAAAAACCAATCTTCCAAGGCCAGCACCAGGTACCAAAATTTTAATGTCAGAAGGTTGAACACTAAAGTTATTAGTTGAATTAATATGTTACAAAATCAGTAAATATATTTAGGACCTACGATTCTAATGGAAATTCTTTTAAAATCTCATCAATTATAGGTTTATAACAAGTGTTACGTTCTTCAATTCCTTCAGTGCTCCAGTCTCGTACAAACTGTTTCAGAGTTGACTGGACTTTTTCTAAATCAGATTCAATTGGTTTGTACTCATCAGTTGAATGCTGAAACCGTTAAATATATGAAAAGTCACAAATGAGAAACATTAATACTTTTATTATTTGTTTATTGATGTAACTATCATTACCCAACCATCTAGACTAGGAGTATTTTGATTTTCAAACAAATATGCAGTATCTTTAATCATTTCTAAAATAACATTATAATTATAATCTACGCAATGTCTTATAGTTTCCAAACTGGTATTGTAGTTAATCAATAGTCTTTGATGTTGTTCTGGTAATGATTTCAAGTAGTTTATAGTCTTGGCGATTCTGTTCAGAGAATGAATTCTGAAAAAAAAATTTAAAAGTTTTATTAATATTAGTACTTTTTTATAATTTAAATTAAAAAACATGTGTATATTAAAATATTTTACAACCAACATTGGTATAGGTAAATAGGTATATTTTTGAAATATGATTTAACTATTCATTATTATTATTTTTCAATTATGTTTATGAAGTATGATTAATTTAAAGACAATGACTCAATACATTTGTATAACTAAATAAACTACTTTTACCAAATCAAACGTTGAAATACATTGTGCATTTGTGTAAGTATTTTGAGACAGTTGATTTTCGACAAGTAAGGGAAAGATGAAATTAATCATGAAGTACAATACATTTGTGTAATAGATATATAAATTAAATTGTTTTATTGAATTTCTTTCTGAAGCTAACACACATAAGTTATCAGTAATATTCTGTCAAACTTTAAACTTATACATATTTTTGTTGAATTAGATGCAACAGGAAATTGTGTAAATCAAGACAAACAAAGTGTTGAAGTAGATATAAATAAATAAATTAAGTATTAAAATAATATACTTCAAACACTATTAAGGATGATTCTTTTTTATAAGCAATGGGTTAGCTAATGTAAACCAATAAACGCCTTAATTATTGTTGATCAATGTTAATACAAACACAATCATAATAATATAACAATATTACCTGTAAAACATAAATGCTGTTATGATTCGTTGGAAGCTCTTTTTCTCTTCTTCTATTTTTTCTTCATCTGTGTGACAAAAATCCATTTTAAGTAGGTACGTTTATTATTTGTTTATCTATTCGAAACTTTTAAGTCTAAGGTAAGAAAATATTATAATATATAATATAATCTATTGCAAAAAAATACAACAGCTGTACTTAATGGTTTCTACTAAGAAAATAAACACAACTTTAAACGGTTCATAGAAAATAATCCGAAAGCAACATGTTATATTATGTTACATGTGCTCCGAATCCGAAGTTGAGTGAGAAAAAATTCGTATCTACAGACGTGATGATAAAGTAATAAGTAATAAATAATAATAATAATAAATGAGTACGGGAAATTATAACTTATATCTTGGTCCGTGGGGTATATAGACAAGTAAGTGAGCTTATAAGTATTAATAAGCAGTGTGATAATATTATATACTGGGCAATTAACAACCTATGAGATAAGAGGGCTTCTAAGCTAAATCCCTATAACAGTATTCTAGCGCTCGTAGCGAATAAAAATGTAATCAGAGCCATATGGAGATAATGTAAATAATTATTTATAATACTCACAGATTTCTATCACGGACTAAGATCTTAGTCCGTGATTTCTATATATTAGAATTAGTGTAGTATAGAAGTCTGTGATAATACTATGTCCATGAAAAATTGTATCATAGATTCATAGAACAATACATTTTACGAAGTAAATACATTTTTTAATATTCAATATATTATAATATTTGTATATACCTATTATTATATATTGAATACTTTTTTATTTTTATTTTTTTTTTCGGTTTAATCGAGAGCCGGAGAAGGAACTGTTGCTCACATTGCTTCTTCTCCGGCCCCCATCGTTTATTGCACATCAAACAAATTTAAGAGTACAATAGCTGCGCCCTTGGACGCGCTCCCACGACCTGGCAGCCCTTCCTTAGCGATTGCTAGTGTAGTATGCGGCTGCCAGGGAGTGTTACTCGGGGAGCCAACATTTCAAAGATGGTTGCTTAAGGCGTTGTCTTGAGCTGGGGATTGACTGTCTTGACGGCCCGGCGCTCGGCCCGCCGGCCTTGAAGTCTCGTACTGGCCCGTCTTCCCGGCTGGAAACCCGCCGGTCTCGTGTTTCACTCCGGTGCTTCGCGGCGCTGCGGTCCGTCGGCCTGGAGTCTCGTTCAGGTCATCGCCTCCTTGGTTGTCCTGGTTCCAACGCCTGTCGAGCTCTTTCTTCTTCCTCCTTGAGGCTCATTATGGACTCGACCATCTTGTAGAAAAGGCGGAGTCTTTCGCCAGCCTCGGCCAGGAGGATGGCTCTCTCCTCGGGGTCCGCGGGGAGGACTTCGAAGTCCGGTCCGCACAGTATTTCGGGGAGATCGGCGGCGGTCGGCTGGTGGCCGAGCCGAGATTCTAGTTCCGCGCGATGCCCGGTCCAATATTCGCACGCAAACAATGTGTGCTCTGCTGTGTCGGAGTTCCCAGCACAGTGGTTGCACGCGGTGCTGGGGGCCCTGTCCATCCTCGCCAGGTACTGCTGAAAGCAGCCGTGGTTCGTCAGCGCCTGGGTCATGTGGTACGACGAGGGCGCCACCACCACCGTTCTCTCGATCCACCTCCTGACGTTGGGTATCACGCGGCGAGTCCACTCACCTTTCCTGCTGCTTTCCCACCTTGTCTGCCAGATCGTGAGGGTCGCCCGTCTCTCCTCGCGCTTGATGGCCGCTTTCGAAGGGCTGACTGCCCCGGGGAATATATTGAATACCTATACTATAATGTACACTAAATGGAATAACATTTGATTTAATTTTGACTTTTTTCTTATATAATTATTAATTATTCCGATATCGTAATAATTAGTATTTTTTATACCCAAATAGTTCGATGAATGGTTAGTTTTTACTAACTACCTATTATACAAATTGTAGAGAAGAACTTTTTTAACAATTAATACATTATATTTTATACCATAATTTTATTACAAAAATACCTACCTACCTAATACTGGTGTATTATACATTAATACCATCTAATTCATACAGTTTACGAAGGTTATTAAAATTTAATATATATTTAAAAATATTATATGCAAATATATATATTATAATATTCACCACTTATTAGAAGTATAGTCGTTTTTTTTATAATTTTTAAATGCTTAAGTAATTTTTTTTTTTAATTTTAAAATGTGTTAAGCAATACAGTAAGCACATTCACACTGAAATTAAAATTAAAATGTATCCAGCGTGTAAAACGATACAGCCAAACAGGCAATGCCGGATTTAGTGGGTGTGCAGGTGGTGCGTTTCACCGGGGCCTCAAGACCAAGGTTGTATTAGGGGCCTCAGGTTGAAGTCCTAAATTTTCTAACTTTCTATAATTTTAAATTATAAAATTAACTAATTGTATTATTTAAATATGTTAGTGACAAGTGACAATCATTTATTTTTGATTGTTTGAATTTTAGATAATACTATTTAGTATTTATTATTGTTATTGTTTATTTTACATATTTATTTGTACACACATAAATTATAATATATAGTATGCATCGTATACTATTTTCGTATAACCGTACCTACTATTTATTAAATCTCAGAGGCTCGCGCAGTCGCGCTATAGTGCAGTATCTTGCAGTATTTTGCTGAACAAACTAATAAGCTTGGATCAGTGTTCTATCTGTAAAAAACGAGCTAAGTTAACGGTGACCGGTCAAAATACCTGCGGAAAAATATCTTCGATCAAAATATCTCTGACAATATATTTTATCTCCGGTAAAAAATATGGTACTCGTCTAATATGCTACCTAGTGGCTAATACGCTACTTCGTTGGTGTAGTATGCTACCTACCACAAAATGATACCTACTAAAATAACGTTTACTGATTATTGATTAATAACAAATTAACAACAATATTAGTTACAATTTATTACTAAATAATTTATTAATTTTCATTGTCAACTGTCAAGTACCTACTTTATAATATTTCTATACGTCATTATATATTATTATACATTATATATTATTTTTAAAATCATCCCAGAAAACTTCTAATAAGTGGTGTTGCGTATTAATGGACCGCCGCCATTCTTATTTTAATTGTCTGTCTAACAAATCTGTTGCTCCTCGGATTTTAATTCCATATTTAGTTTTGACATGTCTTCATATACACTCGATCGTTTGTGTTTGTGCACCTGTTGTAGGATCAACAAAAAACTCGGAATGATTGACGGTTTCATGATGATAACTACCTATCTCTTTTTTCCACTTTAAAAAATCTTTCTAAAACCCCATCAACATTTTTACAACACATACCAAAAATCCATTCATCTTGAATGCTAGTACCGTAATTTTTTTGAGTTGAATAATCATCATCAATATCGTCCGCAAAATACATTCGTTATTTTTCGTTATCATTGTTTATAAAAACAATCGTTTCGCTTAAAACATTATCATCTACATTTGGAATTATAATATCTCCATTCCTCAATCGTCCTCTATTATATTCACGCTTGCCTTAAAATAGTGACTCGTCAATTTGAACAATTTTCCCTGGACCACCCATTTTTTTACGTTTGCCAAACATTGCAACTGCTACATCTCTTCAGAGATTATTCCAATCTACAATTGTGTTACGACTTTTGGTTGTAAATTTTTCTGTCATTGAAACTGGTATTTGATAATCCCAATATCAAACTAATTAAACAATTTAATTTAATGCTAAACCGCTATTACTTTTACCATTTTTATAGTAATTTATAAAAAAAAGATTTTTTTTTCTTAAAGATCGCGAGTGTTATCCATTAGGTATTTATAATTCGTTATACATTAATAACATACCGTGATACTATCATAGACATATATAGTAGTATACTTTAGAAGTTTCGGGTACCTACGAATAATATAATATAATCACAACAAAATTACTAAAATATTTTTTCTAGGTTTTTTATTCCACGTAGGAATTTCTAATGTGAAACTTCTACTCATTGTACCCCCATCATTGCCACTTTTAATCATTATTCACATTTACTTATTGTACCATTTTTGTATAGATTGTAAATTTTCATAAATAAACGACATTTAAAAAAAAAGGTTTTTTATTATGTAATTTCGTCCAAATTTTAACTTAAAATTACTATAAAAATTAACTGTGCTTATGTATTTTTTAGATTTTTTGTTAACAGAATAAACTACTTACGTGGAAATAATTTTATAATTACACAAACAAAAATGAAACTGATTTTGCTTAAAAATTCCCTTGTTTATCCCAACGCTTTTGAAAATTATTGGGAATTTTTAATTTTAACCCCTCGAACGCACCAACTAGATACAATTTACCATTACCACAAGAGAAGATATTGAAGTTGAAAATCGTAAAATCATTTACTTATCTTATACTACTTATCGTGTAAGATATACATACAAATAAAAATTAAAAACTCACATCATTATTAAGAGGATGTCACACCCACATGTGTTGTCTCCGTCTTACAAATGTACAACATAGCAAAAACTGTTTTGCGCGAGACAACTTTTCTCGCACCATATTTGTTATAGAACTACCAATTATTTACAACTCGTAAAGAAGAACTTAATCTGTGTAACAGCGCACTTTTTTTTAAATATTACTATCCAATCATTTTTTATTAGCAAAACAAAAAAACAAAATGTTTAGAAGCAAATAACTTTTATTGTATTTACTATTTATATGTTATCTAAAATATAGGCACGCTGTTTCATAGGTAATTTTCTACCCTAAATGTTCAGAAATTTTGGAGCCACTACTACAGACATAGAAAGATAAAAGTTGCCCCGCTCAAAACAGTTTTTGCTATGTTGTACATTTGTAAAACGGAGACGACACATGTGCAGGGTGTGACGTCCTCTTTAATCAATACATTTATGCTCCGTTCAGAATCTAAAAACATCTATATTTTTAAAGATATTTATTTCCTGTTTGTAATATCTAATAAGGAAGACTTTGAAGAAAATTTGAGTCATGGTGCTAAAAAGATTGAGAATAAGCACTAATCTAGACTAAAAAGGACACGTTCTGGTCTATTAAGTGGGGCAATACTATGCGCTCATTATCAGAGTTTATCATATTATGCCAAGTAAGAAGATATTATTTCATACAAACAAAACTTGACGATAAAATAACATTTTACTAATTTTAAAAATTTTAAAAATCCAAAAAATATGGAAGGGTTGGAGCTGATTATTTACAAGACGTATACTAACTTGTAATAGTTTATTGCAATTAAAAGATACCGCTACGTTAGTTCGTTATTTGTACAGACACATTTTAGTTTTAATTATAAAATATTCAAAGTTATTTATATTTATATTTTTTTTGGTATTTCAGTTGATCCATATTTGATAATTCTCCAGGCTTATCAAAAATTATAATATAGTAATTTCTTAATTTTTAATTTATTATAAATATGTTAATAGAAATTTTTGAAACTCTTTAACATCAAGCTCTTGAATAATTTCAACATTATTTGGTTTATGAGTTTGTTGTATATAATCAACTAGTGTTCCGCCACGTGCTTGACCATCTATAACTGGTGTCAGATTTACAACAACTGATTTTTTAATCAGTTTCGGATACAACATTGCGGCTGCAATTAGAGAGTCACTAGGTTCCCAATTTGGTAATTCTTTTATTTTTGATTCTGCTTTATTCAAAAACCTTATGAATGTTGAATCAACACGACCAAGAACATTTTTTCTCCATGACTAAAACAACAAAATAAGTAATTTTTCAATTATTTAAAGTAATTTTTAACTTGTATATTTTACCGATGGTATATTAGTTGATAAAATTGTCTCCCAGGGTAGTAATAAAGTAACTTCACTTCGAGTTGAATTGAAAAGTATAAAATTACTCTCTGGATCAGCTCCAAAATTAAATTCAACACCTGGAATTCTATTCCCAATACCATTCACACTACCACCAATGACATAAAATCGCTTGACTTTGTAAACAAATTTTGGATCCAATGATATTGCAAGTGCGACATTTGTTGTTGGTCCAAGTATAAGTATACTCAATTCACCAGGATATTTATTAGCTAAACCAACTAATGCAACTGCTGCATGTTTTGACCGATCAATACTACCAATAATTTCTCGATTGAATTTAAAATCACCAAATCCATCATTACCAAAAAAAATATCCGATGTATGATTCCCGGTCAGAGGTTTGAATGCACCAGAGTAAACTGGAATCTATGAAATAAAAATAAATCACTAAAAGTTTAAAACGTATGTAAATAAAAAAAGTTTTTCTTCTTATATACATATAGGTACAATATATGTGTTGTGAATTTACATACAAATGTATTATCTTTTATCTTATCTAGATAATTTTCAGCACAGTTCAAGGCTCAATTATATTTATCTCTATCTAGATAAAACTCTAGTTATCTATACGTACCTATCTAGATATTATATTTTAATGGACTAAAAAAAAATTCAAAATTATAAGTAATAACTAAATTGTTAGTTATGCAGTAGCTAAGAGCAACTAACAATAGCAAATCGCCAAAATGGCTTTCCCAGATCCCTGCTACGATGACTACGGTCATCATTACTTATTAGATAGCCCCAAGGCACCTATGGTTCATGTATGGTTTACCTGTCATTTATTGTTACATTTTTTTCAAATATAAGTTTTTTGTATTAAGTCAGAGAATATGACAACTAGTCCTGTTTTAAATTATATATTTTTTTTTGTCTAATACCTGTATCACTGAAAATGTGCAAAATTTGAATTAAACATTAGTTTATTTGATATTCATCTAGATAAAATGTATTTATTTTTGACTTTGTCTAGATATAAATTATTAGTTATCTATTCCCAACACTGAATTATAGTTACTTTTGATTCATTTGCGATTGTCAGTGTCTTGAGCACATTTTTTTCGACGCTGCTTAAATTGGTGTTACCATAGGTACAAGTTATTGCCACAATATCGATATTCGTGTTGTTATTGGCAAACACCGATAATGTAAGCAAAATTGCCATTGCATCATCAGCACCACCATCCGTGTCAATCACAAGCTTATCACTTTGCACTCTAGTATAATCATTTAAATTTAATTTATACATTTGTATAGTTAAAATACTCACAAAACCAGTAGTGACATACCTTTGGGAGGGCATCAGAAGCACCAACCCCCCCCCCCCCCCCCGAAAATGTTTCACAGGTATGCCACTACTAGTATTATATTTATTTTAAATACTCTTAAATTATATTTTTTTAATTTAAACTTAATAAAAGTTTTTTTTTACCTTTTTAATAATATTGTCATCAGAATTAATCCAAGTGAAATTATAAATTTTGTTTTTTTCATCATTGTAATATTTCAACTAAAAAATGAAAACGAATTACTTGTTAAAATCAAAGAGCGTATAAGTACGTATAACGTGTGTAAAAGTTGTTAACATTTTAGATTTTGAGCGGAGCGATATCGTTGTTCAAGATAAGTAGTCGAAATAATGATTCTATTTTAAACTTCAGTATCTTGTTCGATGGAGAAGTGAATCTAATTGGTGCTTTGGGGTGATCAAAAAGTAATTACTGGGAAAATTAATTTTAAAAAACGCCGGGAAAAACAAAAAAAAAATTAAGGAAAAACTGGATTTTTACCCAATATTAGTTTTCTGCAAAATCGTATTTGGTTTTTTAATGTTACTCTAAAACAAATGACCCTAAATACATGACATTTTCACTGGATAATTATATTAGTAATTTGAATACACCATATACAATTTTCAAAATATTTTGACTTGTTTTGACTGTTGTCTGTTAGGCACAGTTTTTTTTAACAAGCATTTTAAGTTCGAATTTTGATAAAATTTAAAAATGATTTTATAGTGAAAATGTATACAATTTTAAACTTTCATAGCCAAGAAATGACAATTTAAAACAAGGTTCTACGTAAGAAGGTTATTCTGCAACTAAAAATTATAAAAAATATAAAACATGGTATTTTTGTAGTAATCTTATGTTCAAATTGGGAAGAAATTAGATATTTAAACGAAGAAGAACGATTTTAGTTTTGTGTTATATTTAAAATGTATTATTCATGGGTACTTGAAAATTCTAAAGTATACACAAATATGATAATAAACAAATAATAATCAATGGTATTACTGTATTAGCTTGTAATTTGTAGTAGTTGTACCTACTACCTACTGGGAATGTTGAGTTCACCATCACCATTTATATAATATTCAAATATATAATAATATATACAAGATCCCTCATAAGTTTATTTATCTTTATCAAAACATGTCTACTGGAAAGTTAAATTATATTTTTATGAGCCATGAGCGTTTGAAGTTCAAATTTTTGCATTGGATTTACATTCACTCGATTTCTTTTGTAGCGATTTTCTTATTTTTTGTTATTTTTAAATGAATGTTATTGAAAATTTGAAATTTAGGTATATCATATCCATATGTTTATTTTATCAATTCCTATACTTGATAAATGTCGGCTTTTGAGCTATTTACGTATACATTTTAAATTTAAAATTTTTTTCTATATATTTCAATACATTTTTTTGGGTTGAAAAGCGCTAAAATTATTTATAAAATGTAATAATATAATGCTCCTGATATATATTGCTACAACAGAAGTTGAAAAATATTAAAAATACACAGGCACATTAATTTTTTATAAGCATTTTAAGTTCAAATTTGGACGAAATTACACATTAAATAACCAAGAATAACGATTTTAGTTGTTTTCTTGTAATTTTTTAGTATCAATTCAACTTATCGGCTGTTTGGCTACCGTATTAATAATAACTAATAGGTAAGTAATAAGTAATAACAATACAATTAATATAATATAAAATATCCTTAGACTGACAAACCGTCTCCGCTCAGAACCGTTTTTCATATAAGTACATACAATGATATGATATTATTGAATTAAAATTTAATACCATCCATTACAGTGACTCACTTGTAACCTACTGTACAGCAGAGCGACATCAACTTACCCGTTTTTTTATTTTACACTGAAGCTGACCAGGATCCGGGTGTCTATACCAAAGTCTGATAAACGTTTTTCTTATGTTTAATTAATTGACAACACCTTCGTTTTAGGGCGAGTCAATTGCGCCGTTTCGTGGATTAATATTGATTAAATGCAAGATCAAATTTGAATTACTGATGACAACCAGGAACAATGACCTAATATATTATATTAGGTAATAATTAATATAATATATATAGAATATATCATTCATGTAAGGTTGTGTAATGTGAAATTATTGATATAATATATAACATAGATTCATGCGTGTGTCATTAACGGGACATTTATTTCTATCGGTAGGTATACAACAATGATGGGTACCTAGTACCTACCATAAGATCATTATAAAAATGTGCAGTAAAAATGTGAGTATAGTCATTCAAAAATGTAAAAAACTTAACTTTATATACCTATAACTATGTGCCTTCAGTTATGTAAAAAAAAGTATTTTCTAAAACATTAAGAGTTTTTGAAATAGTAATTTTTTTTCTATAAAAAAATCATCGGTTTTATTATAATATATATTAACAACCTCAGCAATGTATGTTTGTCAACGCCACGTCTTGCAATAACGCTTATATTGCAGTGTGAGTATTGCGATAGACTCAATTCCGGTGTCCACATTCCGAATAGACCGAATAGTGTTCGTCGTGTCTCATGCAACCTCAACCCGTTGCAAAATATCAATGAACCATAATAAGTTGCTACATTTTTATACGATTTTCACAAATACCTAACTAAATACTCTAGCGTGTTTCCCCAATACTGTAATTAATTCCGCAAGGTTTCCATTTCATCACTATTTTTGTGATTGGATATCAGCCAACTGTTCCGTAAAAAATGTTGTTTATTCCGGTTTTTAGATTTTAGTGTCAGCTTGTTCGAAACGTCCACTTGATTTGGTGGTCTGTGTATACGATATCACAATTTTAATTTAGACGAAATCCTGACTTAACTTTATCGGCCTAGGATCGAGCTGCACGGAGTTCATAGGGGTTATACCTTCGAATCACGATGATCGGCATACGCGTAGACTTTTCTATTTGAATAAACCTCTTTTTGATCTATTATTTATGTAATTTTTTATCAGCCAACACTTAAGTCACCAATGCTGTATTCTACATGATCCATGACGAGGAAATCGGGGATTCAACCACTGGAGTAATATTTTCTTAATTATTTTGGGCGTAAATTGTATATTATCTCAATATATTTTTCTTTTATACTTTATTGTCTATACATTAGGACATATCGGGTAAGTAGTATACGAAATAAAAGTATGTGAGTTTTGTCATTTGCATTATTGAATGCAAGGTGAGTAGGTATAAAGTCGGGTTGACAGTTGTCTGGCTTTTATCGTTTGGCCAAGCTCGACTTCATACACGACATGACAGAGTACGACGTAGCTGTGAACCTGGTTTTAATCCCAAAAATTACTCTCGTATCGATTTCAATAATAATGATCAAAATAAAATTGTCAATATTTTCAGAACTAGGTACCTACTTATATATTATGTATGATAAATATTTAACTATATGATCAAGCATGAATTCAATTTGCTGATTTTAAGAGAACGTTACAATTGCAGTTTCAATTTTTCAGTGTTGTTAGTTTTAATATTGGAGTAAATTGACTTGTTGAACTATTATCAAACTTAAAATTACGAGGGTGTTTTCTATATTTTATATTTTATATCAGATAGTTACCTATATACATACATTTTTAAATTGTGGCAATTCACATTCTCGTATAGTATAATATCTATATCTAATTACTATGATTCAGAACATTAGCAGCAATCAACACTCCTCTCCATGCTGCCCTGTCATTACCTACTCATAATTAATTGTTTGTGATTTGAACTATACATATATGATACATCAACTAATTATATCTATTGAAGGCGATAATATAGTACAAAAGCGTCACTTCCTAAAATAGGAGGAATAATATTTTTAAATTGGGTTTTTAAAAAAAAAAGTTCACGTGGAGGCAATTTGTGACTCGTGTGTGTCCTAAAATGGGAACTGCTGAACTTAAAATGTCCTATATATTGTACGTTCGTACTATAGACTGAGACTACACATACGTCCCCTTAAGATTTTAAAATTGCTTATTTTATTAGCCAAACGCCCAAAAAGTCAACAAACATAAAACTCATAATATATATACGTTAGAAATTTAGAACAATAAATTGTTATGACCTATATTTAAGTAAATATAATTTTTATTTAATACATTGTTTAATATATAAAATCATTTATAAAAAGAAATCAAGGGCTCTGTTTTATTATACTATTTTTACTTACTGCCTGTGTAAATATACTAAATAATTGATTTTTGTAGGTAACTTTAGATTATTTAAATATTATTTAAGAGCAATCCTTTTAAAAATTATCGGTCAATATCTCTAAAATAAATTAAGTAGACACTTAAATGTAAATTATTTAAATATTTATAAAATATCAACTGACGAACATAAAAAAAATTACCACATGAACATCAAAGATGAAGTCATTTTTGTAGTAAGTTAAGTATATCTCGTAAAAGTAGTAAGTCTATACTAAGTAGCCGGTAGGTAAGAAAATATGTAATGTCACCAATCACCATAATTGTGAAGTAATTTCATTTTGGATTGGTAATAAGTAATAAGTACCTAATAACTAATATTGGTATCGGTAACGCACGATTGAGCATATAGAATATTAATTTATGCGACTATCAAATCAAAATGCTTTAATTTATTATTTTCAAGTATTATTTCACAAATTATTATGATGCCGAGCCGTAAGCCAACTCGCCAAGCCCATCTTTATCAACAATGTTGTCGATTAATAAATTAATCTCGAAATAAAGCAATTCATGTCAGTTTTATCTGAGAGTTATAAACGTGAACAAAACACTTTTTTTAAGACATATTTGAGCAAATTTGTGGACGCATGAAAGGATATACCTGTATACCTAGAAATACAAAAGAATTGAGTATAACAATATGCGTTATTGCCATTTGCCATAATCTTGATCTGTATTATACAAAAAATATTCATTTAAATAATTACAATAGTACAAATATAGTATATTTATATTAAATAGTAAAAAGTAAAAATAACACAATTTTGTGGTCCTAACCCAATCTCCATCTCAAAAGATTGTCGTTTTTCCGCTTGCCAATTAATTTATAATGCATGTATACCTACAGTATAATATGTATTTGTATGTTTACAGCTTAATTGTTTTTTTTTCACTGGAGGAATATCCCGCTCAAAGGACATCGGTGTTAGATTCTATATTATACATTACAGGGA